TCTCTTAATAAAGTCTTTATTGTGTCTGCTTATAAAAGTTGCCACTATACCCATTAGTGAGTCTCTGTTTATTCATCAAACATTTACTGACAGTGACTGCTGGGAGCTGCTTCAAATTTCCACTCCATTACACGTTTGTGGCATAAAGTACATTAATTATAGATATATTACAATATTCAACTCATTGAGGAAAAATTAGATGATCAAGGCTCATTTTCTTTGACAATAAGCAAGTTAATGAAAATACTAATTACCTGATGATAAAGTGGAGCCTTCAGGATGGAATGTTCAGCATCTGTAGAAAAGCCTGGTAAATCCAGAAAGCAAAATTGAGGACAGAAGTGCTATCCAACCAACATGTTAAGACATAGGTCATCAAGTGACCTTTAATTACAGGTTTGGACATAATACAATTGTGAATTAGGAATCTCCATGATCAATTTTCAACAAACCAGGAGGATAAATAGAACAACTACCTTAATAGAAGGAAATAATAAATAGGAGCTGTGAATGCTAATTTGACACATTTTTATTGGAATATGCATTGAAATCAAATGAAAAACTAGCGTAACTTGATCACATAGTTGTTGTTAGACACAGGCAAATTACCATCCACAGTAGTTTTCTGTTTAATAATGAATAATATTGCCAGCTTTATGTCCTGACTAACAAGAATACCCAGAGTTATGGTATCAATATTATTAACCTAAGCTCTCTTTCTGCTCTTGTTTTAAGAGATAACAGTATCAAAGTAATAAAATGTGCATCAGTTTAAAATGGATGTCAATGAGAAATGTCTTGCTGTGATATGGAGCATTAAAAATATAGCTCTTTAAAGAAATGTATGGCAGAAACAAAATCTAACAATGTCTTTGAACCTTTGTGTAGCAAGGGATAACGCTTTTTTCAACAAGTTATCAACCAAAATATTCTTTTTCTTTATTTAACGATAGTTCTAAAAAGTTTGATCCAATATTTTAAATCTATGTGTGTATTGTAACAGGGTAACTATTGAGTATCTCAATCCAGGAAATGTAAATTATGTTCAAAAACATGACGAAGGTTAAATGAATGCAATCTAGACATAAAACTGTAAACCTGTAAATAAAATAAAAAAAGGAAATGTATACAGTTGCAAGAAAAAGTATGTGGACCCTTTGGAATGATATGGATTTCTGCACAAATTGGTCATAAAATGTGATCTGATCATAATCTAAGTCACAACAATAGACAATCACAGTCTGCTTAAACTAATAAAACACAAAGAATTAAATGTTGCCATGTTTTTATTGAACACACCATGTAAACATTCACAGTGCAGGTGGAAAAAGTATGTGAACCCCTAGACTAATGACATCTCCAAGAGCTAATTGGAGTGAGATGTCAGCAACTGGAGTCCAATCAATGAGATGAGATTGGAGGTGTTGGTTACAGCTGCCCTGCCCTATAAAAAACACACACCAGTTCTGGGTTTGCTTTTCACAAGAAGCATTGCCTGATGTGAATGATGCCTCGCACAAAAGAGCTCTCAGAAGACCTACGATTAAGAATTGTTGACTTGCATAAAGCTGGAAAGGGTTATAAAAGTATCTCCAAAAGCCTTGCTGTTTATCAGTCCACGGTAAGACAAATTGTCTATAAATGGAGAAAATTCAGCACTGCTGCTACTCTCCCTAGGAGTGGCCGTCCTGTAAAGATGACTGCAAGAGCACAGCGCAGACTGCTCAATGAGGTGAAGAAAAATCCTAGAGTGTCAGCTAAAGACTTACAAAAGTCACTGGCAAATGCTAACATCCCTGTTAGCGAATCTACAATACGTTAAACACTAAACAAGAATGGATTTCATGGGAGGATACCACAGAGGAAGCCACTGCCGTCCAAACAAAACATTGCTGCACGTTTACAGTTTGCACAAGAGCACCTGGATGTTCCACAGCAGTACTGGCAAAATATTCTGTGAACAGATGAATCCAAAGTTGAGTTGTTTGGAAGAAACACACAACACTATGTGTGGTGAGAAAAAGTCACAGCACACCAACATCAAAACCTCATCCCAATTGTGAAGTATGGTGGTGGGGGCATCATGGTTTGGGGCTGCTTTGCTGCGTCAGGGCATGGATGGATTGCTATCCTCGAAGGAAAAATGAATTCCCAAGTTTATCAAGACATTTTGCAGGAGAACTTAAGGCCATCTGTCTACCAGCTGAAGCTCAACAGAAGATGGGTGTTGCAACAGGACAATGACCCAAAGCATAGAAGTAAATCAACAACAGAATGGCTTAAACAGAAGAAAATACGCCTTCTGAAGTGGCCCAGTCAGAGTCCTGACCTCAACCTCAAACAATTGAGATGCTGTGGCATGACCTCAAGAAAGCGATTCACACCAGACATCCCAAGAATATTGCTGACCTGAAACAGTTCTGTAAAGAGGATGTTCAAGAATTACTCCTGACCGTTGTGCACGTCTGATCTGCAACTACAGGAAACGTTTGGTTGAAGTTATTGCTGCCAAAGGAGGTTCAACCCGTTATTAAATCGAAGGGTTCACATACTTTTTCCACCTGCACTGTGAATGTTTACATGGTGTGTTCAATAAAAACATGGCAACATTTAATTCTTTGTGTGTTATTAGTTTAAGCAGACTGTGATTGTCTATTGCTGTGACTTAGATGATGATAAGATCACATTTTATGACCAATTTGTGCAGAAATCCATATCATTCCAAAGGGTTCACATACTTTTTCTTGCAACTGTAGTTATTGTGGAGTCTCTTCACTAAGTTTGGACAGTTTGTTAAAATTTCAAAAGCAGGTACCTGTAGTTCAGAAAAAAACATGTTTATATTAGTTCAAGGGGCTTGAAGAAAAACTATACTTCTTTTATTTGCTATTGACAAACTGTGAGAAGAAGTTACATGTTTATCCCAAACTGAAAAAAGACTAACTAATATAATATACTGAATTGACCCCATCATCTTGCTGCTGATTGGCTGTTAGGTAAAGATAATTTGTAATAATGCTGAATTTTAAGCTTTCAATGGGGGCATTATTGTTTTACTAAAATAGGTGACCAGATTGTAAAGAAAGACTTATTGATCTGGGCCACCAAGATCAATGCAGGATTATCTCATCTGTTGCTACAACGGGAGAGGGGGGGTTGCACAGTTCCCTTATTTCTTTATATTTATGTTTCTGTTCTACTGTGTTTTTTCAACGTTTGCTTCAGGTTTGAATGAGTTTCATAGTTATGGGTTAGTCTTAAATGTTTTTTTACTTGTAGAGTGTATTAAAGTTAAGGTAGACACAATATTTTTAATTTGAGTATCAGGGACACTGTGCATCCACCTAGCAAGTAATAGGATTGGTTATGGGTGGTCTTAGATTCTTTGTAGCGCTTGACATAAGGTGGTTATGGACACAATTAGAACCAACATTCCATGAAAAATAACCTTAAGGGTGTTAAAGACACTATAAGTTCCAAGAGTGCAAACCCGCTAGTAACTGGAAGCATAGATGACACCTTTAAAGTCCCAGTGGAGTGACTCTCTATCCCACTGATTCTTAATAATTTTTGAATGGGACCCAAATTATATGCATGGTGTTAACTTGACAACTTGTTGTTTAAATTGATGATTATTCCAGTCATCCATTCTTCATCCTCAGCATAATATATAATAAAACTAGTCCTGTAAATTACCTTTGTGTCCATTAATATGTCTCTCAAGTTTTCCATAGCATAAATATGCCAAATCTTCAGTAAAACCAAAAGCATTGAGAGAGAGTGGACATATTCTTTCGATTTTTTTTCAATAAGAGGCTGTGTGTATTGTACAAATTCTGTATAACCGAGAATACTGAAAAAGGGATATCCTTTAATAAGATCAAATACTGTGTCTGGAGAGATATTGGTATGTAAGAAGTCAGAAAGTAGCTGAAATACTTTTTGTCAATGTCAGGTCCACCACATGTGGTAATATGAACCTTGTAGTCTACAAAGTTTCAGATGTACTTCTATCGTCAAAGGATAAAGATTATATAGACGCATCAGATCATGTTGCCATCTTGAAAGAAACTTACAAGCATTTTCTTTGATTGGTATGCATTTTGTGATTTTGTGTGAGTTGCAGAAAATGATAGCCCTAACGTTACATGACTTTTGTAAACCAGTGACAACTGTAAACCATTACATTTTACCGCATAAAAAGTTAAATCCTAATAACAAAGTTATGTGCAAATAGAGGTTTGTAATAGTTCCTGTTTTTTATCTTTGTCAGTTTACGAAGAAATGGTGCACATAGGCAACTAAGAGTGAGAAGTCATGAATGCATGGGAAGGTTTGAGCATAACATTTAACTTGCAAGTAAAGAAAAATTTCACTTGATAACTGATTGTTTGTGGGCAGTCTTCTGTTTGTGGGCAGTCTTCAATCTATTGGGGATACACTGAAATAGAATGTAGACCCTAGTACCGGGCTTAAAATTTTAAATTCTATACTACTAGCCTGACCAGTGATAAGAGTACCTACTGAAATGCAGAGTGAAGTCTGAAACACAAAGCCTGTTAATGCTTATTTCCATACCAATCTGGGAGCACTGGGATAGTTGTGGAAACATGATTTCTTGAGTTTCTCTGCCCATGCACGAGTTTCCAAAATACAACTTGAGATATCAAGGTGATACACAACAGTAATTTCTCTGTTTGTCTTATCAAACAGATGATGGAGGTAGAATTGTGGCATGCAGTTACTACCAATGCTCTATAGCAGGGATAGGCATCCATGTCCACAACATCTCCCATAAGCCATAATGCTGGCAAATCATCAAGTGACATGCAGTTCACAACATATGGAGTGTCAAAGGTTGTCTACCTGTGCTCTATAGTATAATCCAACATGATGTATGAGTACATAGGGGAACATTGACAAGGGTTCTTCCCTGGTTAATAAATGATCTGGGAAGCCCTTTATCTTTATTTATTTTACAAGCTGTAGAATGGAAGATGCATTGGGTGGAAAGGCAATATTCTTGAATGTGAGAAAGAAAAAAATAATGGGAGTAGTTGGGGGGGATGTAAATGATGCAAGGAAGAAAAGCATTTCAATGTTGTTTCTGTTTACTTGCAGGAATCATGAAAAGCTATCACAGAAGCAAAATGAAAAACAGAATAAGAGTCATATGCAAAGGAATTGGTCTTGAAGCCAAGAAGTACAGAGGTAAAGTATTGAGGCAAGAATGAAAGAGTATCCAAGAATGAACCTTGCTGTAGATTGTGGGAGGAAAATGGATGGAATGGAGCAATTGTTATGAAATACTAATAAGGAATGTTTCATTGTAGGAGGAGATTCGCGTTAGAACAGAATATGAAACTACTGTGACCAGGTCCTGGAATTCTGTCTGTCAAGGGGGGCCAGGCCAGTCAGTGGGCCTTCTTGCAAAACTGTTTTATATTATATGGCTTATTCTGCAATATACTGAATAATAAACTATAAATAAGCGATCGGCTCCCAACCCAATTGGGGGAGAGGGGGGAGTGGAGGTTGGCTGCTGTTTGATCCTGCTGTTCTTCTGTTTTATGAGTACCTCTCTCAATACTCAGGGATCCTTGGAGCTACTGGATGGTGCACAACCTGCATCTGACTTACAGTGGCACAAAAGATTGCGGTGAAAATACTTCAAAAAACTTAAAATCCTGGGACTTTATGAATCAGAAATACAGTACTTGATCTCTCTGAATACATATGAGTCTTTCTCTCTATCTCTTTCTCTCTCTGCTCTTTTTTTCTCCATATGTCTCTTTCTGTCACTCTTCTTCCTCCTTTCTCTCTTGATCTCCTTTTCTGATTTCATCAGGCTCTCCTCACTGTATGTCTCTCTCCCGCCCCCTCTTTCTCTCTCTCTCCTCTGCCTTTTACTTCCTTTGTACCGTCTTCTCTGGCAGTCTCTTGATTCCCATCTCTCTCTCTGAGTTCTCTCTCTTTGTCTCTCTTTTTCTTGCTCTCCTTTTCTTTATGTTGCTCTCTCTCTCCCTCTCTTACTCCTCTGGCTTTTTCTCTCTGCTTCTCCTTCTCTCTGTGTGTATCTCTCAGTCTATCTCATTCCCTCTTTGTCTCTTGCTAACCCTCTCTGGCCTTCCTTTAGCTCTCCCTGGCATTCCTTCTTTCTATATGCCGGTCTTCCTCTCAGACAACTCTATACACAACACTCTCACACAATCAAGACAACTGCACACAAAATCACACTCAGCCAGCCTCACACAGCCAACCCTGTTGTATTACTTACAGGGGAATGAGGAGAAGGTGGTCAGGTGGAGGTGGAGGGGCTTTTTTGATTCTTGCACCAGGGCCCAGCATTTCCTAGTTATTCCCTTGTGTAATTCCAAGGTTAGTCAAATCAGAGATAGTTGTTAAGAAGGATAAGAACTACAGAGAATGCAAGATGTCTGTGTCAGTGTGACAGTTGCAAAGTTGTAGACCTCTAGATAGGTTAAAGGTTTGGTGGGAAAGTGATAAATCTCCTTTTGAGAATATTAGGTTTTACACTGGAGTAACAGCAAAAATGTAGTGTCAAGTTAGATGGGCTCTGTGGCTGGAATTATTCTGTTTATTGTATTTGTATTTGTGCACTCACCTGACAATGCACAAGACATTATGAGGGTCATACTGATTTGCATTGTATGCTAGACTATACCTTGACAGCCTTGCATAAGAAAACAAAATCTAGTAAAAAAAAAAAGCATTTCTTAACAAATATGATATATCTGATGTACTATACACGAAAATGCCTACAAAGCAATTAGCATATTATACTTTAACCCACGGAGATTGTATTTTCTATTCTATCCTAAGATCTATCCTACTATCTACGTGCATTACATTGTTTGCCTTGTCAGATATTATGCCTAGATCCAGTTAAGAAAATTTTTTTATTAAAATGAACTGATAAGTAAAAGAAATACAACCCAAGTTTAAATAAAATAAAATATAATACAATTTCTATAAAGTAATAGACAATAGACTTTAATCAGGTAATAGCAACAGGATAGAAAAGAATATGAGTCTATGAGAAGTGATAATCCCTCTGTTATTAAGTCATGGTGTTGAGTTTTCTTTCGTTCTACAATATTTGTAGCTGGCCTAGAAGCAGTGTTGAAATTACTAGTTGGATGATTTGCTTGGCAGACACCTGTTGATTTACTGTTGATTTTCCTGCAGTAGCCAATCTGTGCAGAATGATTAACAGCTGCATTCTAGTGTTTTTATTGTCGCAATAATCATCACATGATACATATTTAGACATACCTCTGTTTTGTGATTTGATATCTCCATTCTGTTATACGTTTTATTGACAGACATCCTGAATCTCACCATTCACTGACCAGTTTTACCACTCGCATGTTGTGGCCTTGACTATGACCTGATTAACCATTTGTGCGACATCTCTGCCTGCCTGCCTTGGATGTATTGCTTGACTAAGCCTTTCTTTCAGTTGACTTATATTTGTCCACTTTCTTCTCTGCAATGATTCTCATTCAAATGGGAACCACCACTTCTATGGAAATTGCATAATTTATTGACTAATTGAAAGTCACATAAAACTTTTGTTTATCTTTTTTATATTGTTCTCCATTTTCATTTATCATCTTTAAAAGCAACACTTTAGTAATTTTCATCACAATCTAGTTGAGTCCTAACACTGTCAGGACGCACTATGCCTCTCTCTTTCTACTAATGAACAATGCCAAGTTATTTTGGTTTTAGTTTTTATGTTGGCCTTCTTGTCAGGTTTGACAGAGAGCAGAGACCTAAAGACTCTTTACAGGATAGAAGTAAAAACAGTATAGAGATGTCTATATTTATTTTTTATTTTTAGCTCTTACAAAAATGTGTTTTTTAAATATAGGGAATGTGTTTGAATTTGTCCTCTGTTCAACCTGAACCTGCGTAAAAACACCCACCATGATACTGAACAAAGGTGGAAAGAGAGCCAAGAAAATAATGGCAGAAATATATTGTTGTTGTTAAAAGGAGTCGGCATTAACGCAGGTCAGTAACTATTTATTTATTCAGTCTCTCTGGAATTTTGTAACAGTTTTCTAATAACAGTTTTTAACTACAACTACTGAGATGTCAAATAAGCATCTACTGCTGACATTGAATTTCACAATTAACTGCTTTGATAACTTTGTATTAAAAAAGTTATTAAAATTATTGTTCAGTTTACTTGTCCCTACATTTAATTTCCATTTGGATATATTTGTCCTAAAATGCTGCTACTTCTAGGCAGCTGTATGGGCATAACACAATCTAAATTCTTACATTCTGCTTCTTACTGGTGTCAGCATTCAGAGCTGTAGTTTTTGCATTCCACTGAAGTTAATAACCTTCAGCTCATTTACATGCAAGACTTTTCTCAGATAAAAAATACGAATCAGCAAATTGTAAAGTATACATTTGAATTGTGTAATTATTTTTGATGTGGTCTATTGATTTGAAACATAACTTTCATCTGGCAAAGTGTCATCATTTGCCTCCTCCACTAGGCAGACGCTATAATTCCCTAGAGTATATCACTTTAATTCTGCGGGTCGTAAGAGAGTAACTTTAAACCTACAATAAAAGCTGGACAATTTGGTTTTCTCATGACGAGTCTGTGTAAGCAGTTTTCTTTTAATTTTTTACAAATTCATGCTTTGACACAATCTCGAGAAAGCTATGGGGAAAGGCATGTATATTTAACATAATTAGAATGGCAAATATTATTGAAAAATAACAAAATATGACCATATTTGCTAATTATCAGAATATTTGTTTATGTTTTTTGAATACATTTTAATGTAATCTCAAACGTATATTATAAACAAATGCAAAATAAACATACACTTATACTTAATACATGCAATTCTTAGGTACATGCAGAGTAAGTTTTTGGGATAAATTTTAAAGTTATTTTAGTTAATACGGTGATGGTATTGTTCTGATAAAACAAAACGTAATTGTGGTAGGCTATAAAATTCTTATAACTCTGGAAATTCTTTAGAAGTGTATGAATAAGCAGATTTTCACTTCCATATATAGCCTGCCTTAATTTGCCTTTTACATCAGATGTGCCTTATCGATTTCTCCTGTGTATGTTTTCATTCTGAATAATTTAGAGGCACAATTTTTATTCCATTATGGTCAATAGCAAGAACAAATTTTGAGGATAATCAATTGAGCTTTGCTTTACAATTACTAGTGTTGATATCCCCTGAAGTAAAGGAAAAGGAAAGCTGGCGTATATTATGACACAACATTTAATCATTACCATCGCCAGATGTACCAACAGTGGTTTTGAGTTAGGAGTCTAGCTATATATATATACTGTTGATGTTTATAGAAGAATTTAATCTTCCTCGCTGTCACTGATCAATCATTACTCTGACATGCAGAGTTAGACTCCACTACGTTATTTAATTGTATTCTTTTGATTTTCTTTCTAATTGGTAGCAGTTATGAATGAGCATCAGATTTACGTGCAGGGCAAAGAATGTTGCAAGAAATTAGAAGAATTTAACATTTTTATTTGTATTCTTTCTTTTAGATCCAAGTTTTGATCCTGGAGGAGGTAGACACAGGCACTCACAGCACAAAAATAGGAATAAGTCTCACTCCTCTTTTGAAAGCAGAAAGTTTGGCAACTCATCCCATTTGCAAGAAGTGGCACAAGTCATGTCTTCACTTGATTTTCTTGAAATGCACAGGACATGTAATTATAGGTAGGTACATGGAAATTCAAATGGTAGATCACAATAAATTTAGTGACTATTAATTTGTTTATTGGTTATAAAATGTACAGGTTGCCATCTTCATTTCAAAAGACATCATGCTATTGTCTTGTTGAAAATTTCCCAAGACAACTGCAAATAGAAGACATTATTTTAGCATTTTCTGTAGGTAAATTGCATGACAATCCAACAGACATCTCCTAGCCTATTGCAATTTCATCTTCCATGAGTCTTGGCCAAACTGTGCTAAGTCAACTTATGAAGCTGTGGTTCTATACCAGCTGGAGAAATGTCTGTTGACTACAATGTGTGGGTTTCAGTGTACATGTTTTATCTTCTTTCCATTAAAGTATTTTGCTTGCGTGCTTGCTTGTCCCAGTGCTTGTGTGTCATTATTTATTATTACATTAATGTTCTAGCAACTAAACATCAAATCATGTTATTACAATATCTATTGTGTCATGGTTGCATTTGATTGGTATATAAAATCATTCAATGGTAAATTCATTATTTTTATATCAATACATCATAAAATTCTCACTGGTAAACCTCTGTAGCTAAAAGTATCTCATCATTACACATCAACTGATTTAATTAAACACATTTAAATTCACTCTCTTTGTGTGAAAATATTATATATCCATGTTTGTCTCAAGCTTAAAAACTCCAGTTCTCACAATCATCTTGTATTTACTTCCGACCACTTAATTTAAATATCTGATTACTGAACTATACCATGCTGATCATCATCTGTTCTCATACATATCTGTTTCACGCACACATGGCTCACTTATGGTGTCTGCTCAGTGTCTGTTTGAGACTATTAGATTGTTAAAAAATCTTCAGTAGACCTTTATGAAAGAAAACATATGAAAGGGTATATATAGAGCAGGGCAGTTCCTTAATGCTAATCATCGGACATTAAATTCCACCAATAAGACTTGCCCCGATCAAATTGTATAAACATAAATTATTGCAATGTGGACCTCAGCCTACAATGTCTACACTCCTGGATTGTCATTTTGCATTAGCTATAATTAAGAAATCGAAGAATTGGTTACTTGAGCAGTATTTACAATTTGGTTTATAACCTTTGTTATTCCTACTGTACTCCTAGTGTAAACATTACAAATTGGGTTCTAGTCCATTTTACTCAGACTAACACTGCACAATAATATATATATATATATATATATATCGAGAGAGAGAGAGAGAGAGAGAGAGAGAGAGATTGTTTAACATATCAGTTTGAATATTTTGTAAAATAAAACTCAAATGGTACACAAACTTAAAATGTGAAGTTTGAAAGGTTGTGACCTGAACCATATAATTCAATAATTCTGATGCAGGATACATTTTACATACTGGCTAAAATCATAAGTAAATATTAGCCAAGAGACAGTTCTAATCTGTAGAGATTTATAGGTTTGTTTGTTTTTTTTGCAAACTTACACACGTGATAAAATATAAAATATTCTTATTTTCAAACAATTCCCTAAAGTGTGTCTCCTCCAAAGTCCATTCTCAGTTAATCAGTACAGACATAATACAATTAAGAATAATTTATTAATATCAAAAATATTCTATCATTTGAACAGTTTTGCACAATTTAATGGGAAGCAATCATATATTTTGGGAAGCGATTATATATATTCTCTTTAGAAATCTACTAGACTTCCTTTTAATAATTAAAATTTTGTTTGTGTCAAACATGTCTTCCTGGAAGTTTCTCCAATAGAAAATCATTATCCAAGGCATGAACTAAAAGATATAATTAATTAAGGGAGAACATGATCAATGCCACCTAAACCAAAATACAAAATATATTCTTAATGAAAGTGACCCTTCCAATTAATTGGCACCGTTTATCAACCATTATGTATACAAAGGCGCAATCTAAAATAGTTGCATATTGAACTCATGGACTAAAAACTGCTGGGAATCTGTCTATAGTTTGGAGATTTCCAAAACAGATGGTTTGCTTTCCATGTAATAATCAGCTTGAACCTTGTAAATGCTGTGTTTTAGACAGTACTGATTCATCATACAAGAGCCTGCCCAATTTATATTTAACATTTGCAGTGTGAAAATAGTGTTTGTACATGTAATAGTGTTACCAGAATATAAATGCATTATCACGGTTGTTCACAAAAGTAAACATCAAATTTCAGGCCTAAGTAGTCAATATGAAAATATTTCCAATTCATTTAATTTTGCCTAAAATAATCCAGCTTTCGTAGATATGTTTATTTTTAATCCATATCTATTACGATCACATGGTTCCTAAGCTCCTGTTGGTAATAGAAGAGAGGAAAGAAAGGTTAGCGCTAATAATAACTATATACAAAAATAAAAGGCAGCGGCCTTATAGAGGGTCACCCTCTAACCCTCTACAGTGGAAATATATACAAAAACAGAGAATAAGGCTGCGCCAAGAAAATAAAAATAGGTCCAAATAATAAAATGTTCTAATAAGAGAGTCCCAATGGTAGGTGGTGTTTTCAATTGGTGTGGTGTCTTCCTTAGCAGTGGTCGTCCGTCTCACGATATGAAAGACACAATGGGAGAGAGCCAATTGTGCAGAGTGTATAAATAAATAATATTTGAATAAAATATAAATTACACACTCACATTGCCATGAGCTAGGACCAGCTCAGGTATGATGGGCATACGGCGGATAACCCTCCGCTTGTAGGGGTGCTTTTCCTCCTGGAGCGTCCTGGTGTCCAAATTCTCAGGTAAAGAAAATAAAAACAGCCAATAGTGCTCTCTGATAAAATGGTTGGTAAAAAGGATAAAAAGTAAATAAAATATACTCACAAGTCGAGTGCAGGTCAATCTGCACTCTGATATTCGCGTGGGTGGTATAATCCCCACCTTAGGATATGCCAGGAACAATAAATGAGGTTAAAAGTAATAATAATTATAAAATTATTTATTAGTACAATATATTAAAACCAATAACGCGTTTCGCCGTGGAGGCCGTGGAGGCTTTATCAAATTGGAATGTTTAATCCATGTCCACTCATTCACATTCATCACAATCTAAATATCTCAGTATTTTGGAGGTAACACAATTACACAATTAATTAAGTTACCGTAACATGTTAAGCTTGGTTGCTAGGTGCAATAATTGTTGCTGAAATTCAGTGTACTATATCTGGCCATGTCTGCTGATCATTCCTATCTTGCCTTGAATGAATGACTTTTTATTTGTGATTCAATGCTACCAAACCCTTGATCCTTTGCCTGTCTGACTAAATGTTCATCTTGTCCATTAGTACCACAATTTCAGACAGTATACATTGCTTAAGTCTCAGTAGGCTTTGCGACATACTAAGCCACATTCTTATCTACCTCTGCTAAGTGGTATCACTACTCAGAATTCTGTCCCAGTTACGTGTTTAATATATACATTTTGGCATGTGTCCAGCTCTGGTAGGCTTGGTATATATAGCACTCTTGTTGCTTTTTGTTGTGTTAGAATATTTACTTTGTATATATGAGATCTGGATATGCATATTGTGTGACTTTGTCTTGATAACAAATAAAGGCTGTTTTATTGATTGCATTAACTAATTTGTGCGCATCTTTTTGTTTAATTATAGTTTATTATTTAGACACTGTAGCAGACCACAGGTAACCTGACTGGTTACTTACTCTAATTCCTTCTCTCAGCCAATCTGGAACCATTAAAACACGCAGATATCCATTCCCCCAGTAACCATATGAAACATAGTTCTGGGAGTCAACTCATTTATTTCAGGCCACACACAGCTTTTATGCACAGACCCGTACATGGGGTCTCCAACACAATAGCATAGGGTGTTCAATCCCAGGATCCTTTGTGCCTGAGAGATAATTGCATGTGAAAACATATAATTAATTTATTTCTCAAGTACAAAAAAATCTATACAAAATATACAGTACCCCAAAAGTACCCTCACCATAACTAGGAACCCCAGAAAAGTTATATCCCCAGAGAGCCCCAAACTGAGTGTATAACATATCCAAAGATCACTCAGATCGAATTGGTGGAACTGGAATGCCACCGGGGTAAAGTTTTGACCGGCCGGTAATGAGGCGCTAGCCCAAAACAGTTCCAGGGAAATAAGTGTCCCAGCCAGTGTCTGTTTGGGGGTTCCTGTGCAAACACCATGCAATGGATTCTCTCAATTTCAGGATACGAATGCTCCCCCTGTTCGGTAGTTCCCATCTCCCGAACATCGTTCGCATAGTTGGGCGGGAAGTAGAACGGGTAGCAGTCTAATCTTTACCGAGGTTCATGCGAGTGCTTAGCCAAAAAGAGTTCCAGGCACTCGACATCCAAGTGTTGCTGCCCACATTTGGGAGACAAAATGGCTGCCACTATTTTGTCAACCACATGCATTCGGTTATACAAAATGCGGGCCACTCAGGGGAAGCATTCATTAATTACTTCCCTTGCAGTTTCGCACTTAAGTTACTAGGTGAGAACATGGGGTACCAGGGTGGTCCTCATTCTGGAGTTGAATGCAGAGTGTTCGTATACTATAGCTGCCGAATGGAAAAATATTAAAACACACGAATCAATAAGAATTTGACGGTAGATTCCGACACAGACACTTGGATAGCACCCTGTATTTGTTTACATTGTAGTCAATGTTGATACTCTATGTATGATTATTTTATATGTATAAATTCCAGCATGCATTATATATGTTCTTGTGCCACTATGTAATACATTTTTTTAAAAATATAGCAATGAAACTATGTTACAACTGTAAAAATCTGTTTCTGCTTCTTAGCACAACTTATCTACTCCTGTTGAAATTTTCAAACTGGTATCAGTATGGTATCAGCATGGACAAAAAACTATTAAGTATGATGGTGTATGAATTCAGCAGTGCTGTAAGTGTAAATAACTTTTCAATCTTTCCCAATCACCCTATGCCTAGAATTTGCAGTCACTCATTTCATGTCTTAAACACACTATGAATGCTCACACAGTATACGCATTTAGAGGGATAATAAGGAAGCTGAAGCACAAGCAGAGTCTAAGATTGCCCTAGGTACCAAGGCAGGATATCAGATTGAGCTCTCTCTCCTAAATACCTGAGTTGTGTTCTGTGAATGGGAGTGGCTAAGTGTCATGTGTAGTGAAGTGTAATATATGTGTAGGGGAGACCGACAGGCTTATTTACTAAAGTGAGAATCCAAAGTAAATTACAATTTTAAGTTCAGGATAGCATAACTGATTTCAATTATTATCCAGTTTGGATATTATGACCTTAGATTTGAAATTTACTTTGTATTCAACTTGCATTTTCACTTTTTCTGGATAACCATGTGAGTGTTGTGTGTAGGTGGTTGAGTTTTGTGTGGGCCTGTGTGTGATGGTTTCGTGTGGAGCCCCTGTCTGAGCCTGGGCTCTAGGTGGCCGTCTCTGCTGAAGACTGGGTGTTCTTCAGTTACTGTCAAACTGTTGTGAAAAATATTTTAAAAAGGGACTGCATCATGATCTCTCTCTAGCAGGGCTTGACTTACAGCAAGAATTTTATTATTTACCATCCAATGTTTAACAGAATGATTTTGTTTTAATGATTTTAAATCCAAGGCAATTAAATCCAGACCCACAACCTGATTTCCCTCTGCAAATGTAAACTTTCATATTAATGTCTATGCCGAGTGCATAGGATGAGGTGGAGAGGAGACTATGTAAGCACGTTTGCATTGTTATTAGACATTCCTGCAGTGTTTAGGCTTCATTTCTGAAAGGGTTAGCGGTTGCAACAGGCTCCCTGATTCTTAAGTGGTTCCTGTCAGGATTACAAGTTGATCCAGCATGCAGTACTGTGTCACACCTAGGACTAAGAATAACGTATAACCGGACCTTAGAATGGCCGGACTTAACGTCGCCAAAAATAGTCAAAATACTTGCCGAGGTCAGGGACACAGAATCAGACACAAAGATGAGGGAAAGCCAAAAGTCAAGGATACCAGATATCAGGGAAGTCAAAACAAAGCCAAAGTCAAATACCAGAAAATAAAGATCAGGAACGCTCTCTTGGATAACCATAGGCATGAAACCACGACAGGACAATGAGTAAGAGGAGAATTGGGGTTAAATACCCCTCCTGTGGATCTGATTGGCTGTAATGGGCCTTTCACCCCAAAGGCAATTACCCATGTGCATGATTGCTGCTCATCACAAACCCTCCTGTGGATTTGATTGGCCATGACCGGCCTTTGACCCCAAAAGTAATTACCAGGTTTCCATGTGCATGATTGCTGCTCGGCACAACTTTTCCTGTCAGGACAGTAAATGCCATTAACCACATTTTTATGTGTGGATGAATACGTGACAGTTCCATAGATCTCTTCTACAAATATGAAGTATTTGTGGCATCTTGACCCTTTGCTATCCAAGGAGTGATAGAGTGCTACCACCAGGCTTTTGATAGTTTTAAATATGTTCCTGTGTATTCCTGCTTGAGTTACACCCCATTACACATCACATACATAAGAGAATGGAGCAATTTCTGATTTGATTTTCTGGTTATTAGAAATTACAGGGGACTCATGCTCTCTCTTTATTGTTTTACATTTTACCCACTGCCTCATTCTCCCAGTGATCCAACCTTATTTAATTATTTTTTTTAAAGTTTCTTACATTCAGTGTATTTGTAAATTCAGTGTATTTCATCCAAACTAATCATTCAAAATGGCCCCAAAGTTCGATCGACATGTTTTCAGTAGAATATTCTGCCCATTGTTAATGCTATCTATTGTGGTTTGTTACAGCATTACAGCATAGCAGTGAAAGAATGTTAATGTTTTTTGTTTTGTGAATGTCTTTCTCCAACTGCTTATAATTCAAAGAACATGTTTACCTAATGGCAACTATGCACTTGACATAATATAACAAAGTAAATGTTAGCAGACCATGTGAAAAAAAATTTTAGTTTATAGCAATCCATTGGTTGTGTATCTAGTTTGGCTTAAATCAGCAGTTTTTCATTAAATGATATCTGAGAATCTGTATGAACTGTTGAATGAAAGGGTAATTGACTGACATTGACAGTAAAACAATCTGAGGCATAAAGAGATACTGAGCTTGCACACTGATTCCACTGAGGGTTTTATTACATACAATAAAATTGTACAAGTGGTCCTCCTGGGGTTTATTCTGGAGCCTGAAGACAGATGTTGTGAATGGTAAAGTCCAGAACAAATGCATTTAGGTCAGAAAAAGAGGTTACCAAGTTTTGTAACATGGGAAAATAACCAAAAGGGAAAAAAATGTAGAATTTCTGCAAAACATATCAGGTACTTTACCAACAAAGATTGTTTTATCACATGTTTCTAATTAGCTTATGCAACTGTGGGAAGAAAGTAAATGACAGCTAGCAACAGGTCTACAAAGAGTAAAAATCATCTTTTCTGTAAATGACAAACACAGTGTTATCAACATATTTTACTTGCGTATCTTTACTTATACAAAGTTACTATATAATATCAATGCATGTGTAGTGAGAATATGGATAGGATTTGATTTGGAGCAATTTGAGATTTCCCAAAATGTATTATTATCTCTAGACTGAAGAATCTGAATTCTAATTCGATTTTTTTTTTTTTTAAATTACCTAAATGAAATTGCCTGAATTAGCCTATGATAGAAACATAAAAATACATAAAGGGAACCAACACAGTAAAAGAGTAGATTATATTTAAAAGAAGAAAAACTACCACAACAAGAGGACATAGTCTTAAATTAGAGGGTCAAGGGTTTAAAAATAATTTCAGGAAGTATTACTTTACTGAGAGGGTAGTGGATGCATGGAATAGCCTTCCAGCTGAAGTGGTAGAGGTTAACAAAGTAAAGGAGTCTAAGCATGTGTGGGATAAGCATAAGGAAACCTAGCTATAAGATAAGGCCAGGGACTAATGAAAGTATTCAGAAAATTGAGCAGGCTAGATGGGCTGAATGGTTCTTATCTGCCGTCACATTCAAATTGCCTAGATGGTCATGAGTAAACAAAAAACTTGTCATTGTGGGAAAAAAATATTTTCAACAACTATAGCACAAATTAGGAGCACTCTCCAGGATCCATGTACTGATAGGCCAATGACAAACATAAAGAGGACACAATAACATAACCTCGTGGTTGACCTCATAGTCCTGAATGGTTAGGCTACCATTTATGAAGAAATACATAACCATCTGTCCGCATGGTCAAAGTAGTATTAATATTTGGCTACATACAGCAGTCACTGCAGCTGACACTTGTCTTTATTGAGTATGTAGTTGCTATCAGCAGTTGTATGTATTATGAAATTTAGAGGAATATCATATTTTCTCAAAGCTAATCAAATGTCTAATATCTTTATACAAGTCTCTTTACTAGCAGGAGAGCATGTAACGCCATGTATTCTGATAAAGTAGCCAAGGTGTATTTTTTAAATAGAAAGTGGAATTCCACACTTCTGAATAGACTTGTGCAGGGAGAGAAAAGCCAGCTTGGCCAAACCATTAATATAAGTTTCAGGACATCTTCATTTCAACTGGATGTTGGTTTAGTTCAGCAGAGTTTTGGAACCATGATTTCAATTCAAGATCCAAATTAGAAGATACAGGTGCAAAAATGGTTCTATCATTATGCTGCAAAATATATACATAATATAATATTATGTACATACTTAACAGTGCGCTGATAGAAGCATTTCCCCACCATTTGGTTCACAGATCAAGGGAGAAAAACTAACCAATAGAGGGAAAAACATGATCAGCTGTAAAAAAAATCTAAACATATTATATATTACTTATTCATAAAATAGAGTATATATAAATAAAGTATTTTTACTGCTCCTCCTTTTTTCCCTACTGTTCATTTCTCACTTGATCTATAAATAAAATCAACATTTAGAGACTGTCTCCTAACCATCAATCATCCTTTTTTTCTATGCATTATCTATTTTTTATACATCACAGGCAGAATCCAGAATCACAAGCCAAACTGATCATGTTCACTATTTTGGGTGGTCCATAATTTGGGTACATTTTGGCTTGGAGTTCAGGAAATCAGCTGAACACCAGATTTGGCCAAATTTGGCCAATTTACAGTTCAAATCTCCCAGTCTACTATTGATGACATTACAAAGTAATATAATTGACAAAAAAGTTGGTTAACATTATCCAAAAATCATGTCAAATGCACAAATTACATACATTATTAACAAATAGAATGTATGAACAAACCAATGAGAATAGTTATGGACATCAACTTTTAATGGAAATATCTCATGGTGTTATAATTATACCTTAACCATCTTATTATATAATGGAAAATAAACCAAAGAAAAATGATAGTTAATATTTTTAATTTTCCATAAATTCCATGGAGAACATATAGTCGCAGCCCTTTTCCTTAATGTTTAGGCTCACGTGATGTTTTAATTTCAGTGCCCAATTAATAAATAGGTGCAACACATTTTGAAATGAGCTAGTGCACATAGCTAGATGATTTATGTACTTTTTGGAGAATAGGATATTTGAGTATATTTGAGTATGTTACCTTTTTCACGCTCCCATGTGGTGTATAATGTTTTCTTCTGCTTTTAATATTGTCAGGGGAATTGCAAAACATGGATACCATATTATTAACTTTTTTCCTTGTCATATTTCTGATCATTGGTGTGCAGAGTACTCTGCTTTAGAATGTGCACCCCAAGAATATTACCATCAGAATTTAACTTAATATTTTAGTTTAAAAAGTTTAGTAAAATCTCTAATTGGGCATGTAGACGCATTAAAAATGATGATTCTGCCAAACATTTTTTATTTTTTATTTATTTATTTATTTATTTAGGATAGAGGATCTTATTTAAGATCTTCAAAGGCAATGTTACAGAGGGAAAGAATCTGAAGCTTTTCCATGTTGGACTTCTGCTAACACAACATGCATAGGTGATATTGTTTCAGGGAGCTATGCACTTACAGTAGAGTTACTTCAAGAATCTTAACACAGTGGTTACCTCTCTGATGTTTACCATCATCCATATCTCACCATTAACTCCATTTGAAAGACTTTATAGATCGAAAAGTTGAAGGAAGGTGCAATTTTGGCAATACATTGTATGCTTCAAGGTGCAATCATCAACAGTAAAATTCATTTTTAAACTGTGTGTTGCAAAGCGTTGAAGTGGTAAAATCCCAACCTTTTACACACTCTTGAATAACATAAAATTATTTCAAGATTTAAGTGGGCATTTACTGCATATAATAAAACCTGGCACCCATTCAGCATGTTTTATGCGTTATCTTTTTTGCTTTGTCATGATTGCAATAACATAAAAAATTGTAACACACTAGAACCTGCTTTGTGCCCATGTTAAGACTAACCTTTTAACCACCCTACCTGACTCTTCTCTGCAAATGTTGTGAGAATAGGAATATATGTATTTTTTCATGTAAATGAATGTATGCATTGTGTCATATATCTTTAGTGAATAAGCAAGAGCGCTGGATTGTGTATTTTGTATATTTTGGCCCCAGCAGCACCTTATAATGTATGCATGTTCAGGTGAGGGCAGCCCTCTTGGTTTCATATATATATATATATATATATATATATATATATATATATATATATATAAAAAAATATAGAAACTACAACTGACAAAAGATACCTGGTGCTCTGGTGGCTGAACCATAGGAGAAGAAAAATAACGGCACTCAAGGATTTTCATATGTTTAAATCTTCATTTATTGTGGAAGATAAATTGACGTTTCAGCTCCTCTAGGGAGCTTTCATCAGGACACAAAAAAATCAAAAAACTGAAACACACTTATATAGGACATACAATTAATTCAAATGGGTACTTACTCTCAGGTGATCTGCATTTCCGTTCGCCACCGGACCCGCCACGATCACCACCTCCAACAACAATACTTCCGGGGTTTGTAGTCACCTGACCCCGGAGGACGTCTCCATTGGACCAGCCAAACATGTTACTGGGGCAACCATAGACGCCTACGTCTCATTGGTTACACACACATGTACAGATGCTGGTAAGGGACAACAAATATTCTAATCGGGTTGTATGAGAATGTTGGCATGGCAATCAAAGCGCATCTCAGCGGCCGGACGGAAACAAAAAGGATTAAGGAGTCTGTTTAACACAGTAGAGTTACAGCATGGGGAAAGTTAAAAAGTGATTAAAAAAGCTTAATGCTGGAAAATGTGAGAATGAGTGAATGAGAAGAAGCTTGTATAGATCAAGCTTAAGTTAATATGCAAATATGTGATCCCCTATTTAACCATTCAAAGGGAGCAATGTGTACTGTAAATACAATAAACATTAAGGTGTGTAGTGAGCAAACAAAATTACTGCGGACCACTGTGACCGGGTACCAGCTGCCACATTTTGCGGCACTGGCCTGTCGGCAAACCGCCGGGGCCACATTTTAACAGGTCCATTGGGTTGCCCATGCTGTCAGGGCCACCTGATGGATATGGATTGTGAGAGGGCCCGGTCAGCGCTGGGTGCTTTAACAGTGCGACCGAGCCCCCTATGATGACATCACAGAGCTGGGAGGAAGTGACTCCCGGTCACTCCTACCAGCTATCAGCCCACGCGGGAGGAAGCAGGAAGGAGGAGGGAGTCAGAGTGGGAACTCTGACTCCCATCAGGCTGAGCCACCACTGGACCCCTGGGAAAGGAACAAAAGGTAGGAAAGATTTTGTGTGTCTCTGTGTGTCTCTGTATGTATGTGTGTCTGTGTCTCTGTATGTGTGTCTATGTATGTATGTGTGTATGTTTGTGTCTCTGTATCTGTGTGTGTTTGTGTATCTGTATTTATGTGTGTTTGGGTATCTCTATGTATGTGTGTGTCTGTGTCTCTGTATCTGTGTGTATATGTTTATCTGTATGTATGTGTGTGTCTGTGTCTCTGTATGTGTGTGTCTCTGTTTTGTGTGTGTCTGTCTATGTCTGTGTGTCTGTGTCTCTGTATGTGTGTATCTGTCTATGTCTGTGTGTCTGTGTCTCTGTGTGTGTGTCTCTGTATGTATGTGTGTGTCTCTGTATGTATGTGTCTGCATGTGTGTGTCTGCATGTGTGTATGTATGTGTCTGTGTATGTATGTGTCTGTCGGGGGTGTGTGTTTGTGTCTGTATGTATGTGTCGGGGGGCCATGGTCAGGGGGGAGAGGGTCAGGGTAGAAGGGGGGGCACGGATCAATTTCGCACCAGGGCCCCATGTACTGTGTATACGCCACATCATGATCATGGGCAATGTCACTTATGTGTGCTGCATGTCTGCTTTAAAGAAAACCCACATATTTTTCCATATAAAGTCATGGACATACGAGCAAAAACCTCTCATGGACTTCTTACCATATAGACATTGCATGCAGTTAATTGCTTACAAACCTACATTTCTAGTAGCATCCATGATACTGTTGGAAACATTTAAAAAGCATTTTGTGATAAGCTCAAAATCTGTCTGATAGAAAAAGATGCTGTTTTGAAAAATAAAACTTATTTTCTGCAATTTTCTATTATTTCGTTTATATATTTTTTTGTTAGAAATAGGGAATAGATTTTAGTAGGTCAAATGAAAAATAATAATCTAAATTTAATTGTAAACTTTCTGCTTGTCAGATTTGTTTTATATAAATTATTTTTTATTTTTTTGGGGGGGAAAATATTATTTTGCTCAGTTTCCTAGATTATTTCTCCGTGGGATTGAATATAGCTCTTCAAACTCATTACACCTACAACTATAGGTTGGACTAAAATTTGGGTCCCTGAAGAGAAAGTCTACATCTTTATCCAGTAAGCTAAAGAAATCATTTATTTTTTCTATTAAACAACGGTGTGTGAATAGATTGTGCAGTGACTAGACAGCACACAGTAAATATCAAGGTGAACAAAAGTCACAGAGAAACCTTTAGAATAATTTAGAGTGGGTATAGCAGTAGAAGTATACTCAGTTTGTATTGATGCAGCTATCATTAACCCTAGATCTGCACTTTCCCTTGTATTAGCAGGGTAATAGAATTTCTCTATTATAGCTACCGCCGGTTCCTATCACATAAACTTTCATAGCTTAAATTGACAGATTGTCAATTCATGCGCTATGTACTATGTCAATATTATAAATGCAATAAGACTTATTTTTCTAACCCCAACAGGTAAGGTATTTTGTTAACAGTTGATTGGAATTTAGAAATTCTGAAGTGTTGCCAGTTCAAAACATAACAGAATGACGTTCTAAGCAAAGTCTAATGTATACTACTATATAATAATTCTGTGAACAACCATACGAGCATGATAAAGGGTTTATAATGATTATGTTTTATACTATTGTAATTTGCGGTGATTTTTATTTATTTATTTTTCTTAAACATATAATGACTTTTGAAACACTTGCAAGATTTCCCTTGGTAACTTAAATTCCATATACTATAAGAAATGATGATGCTCTTCTTTTGCCAGGGAGACATACATTCAGTTCATGTTTATTTTTTTAAATACAGCCAGTCTGGGGTTATCTGCAAAGCTCCTTTACATTTGCAGTGAACTCAAATCATCCATACATGTACTCTGATGTAGCAAATGTAGTCATTATTCCCATAGTTCTATAGAGAATTTAAAATGGCAACTAACTGGACGAGTATCTAATAATATTGTGTATTCCCTGTGTAATAATCCTTAGAGGGAGGTTTACTGGCAATATAATGCCTGTGGCCTGTAATTTGAAAGGTACCCTGCCTTGCTAGAGAAATTAGAGATACAACAATGTATTTTTCCAAGGCAAACAAAGCATTTGCCTAGGGAGGTACTATCAAGGGGGGGTGGCAAAAAACGCCGCCCCAAATGCCGCTCGCACCTGGTGTACCTAGTGCGCGAGAGAGCAAAGCAAGAAGAGTACAACTCCCTTGCTGCTTCCATTGAGTACACAGAGAGCAGCCACACTGCACCCCAGGGACCAGATTCACTTCAACTCTCCAAAACGTAGGCAGAGTTATTATAATAATTATTATAATAATGATAAGAAGAAGAAGAATTTGTGAGTGTGTGTGATAGAATATGTATATGTCTGTTATTGAATGTGTGCGTGTGTGTCAAATTAGTGAGAGTGTGTGTCTGTCAGTGACATGTGTGTGACTGTCAGTGTCATGAGAGTGTGTGTTAGTGAGTGTGTCAATGAATGTGTGTATCTGTCATGTGTAGAGTGTCTTTCTGTCTGTGAGTGGGTGTGTCAGTCAGTAAAAGTGTCTGTTTGTAAAACAATGTGTGAGCTGTGTGTCTGTCAGTGAGTGTATATCAATCTATGCGTATCAGTGGAGGTGTGTTCTGTCAGTGAAAGTGTGTGTTGGTTGAACAGTGTGTGTGCCAATGAGTGCCTGTATGGGTCAGTGAGAGTCTGCATACTTAAAAGGATGAGATACAAAGAGGTGGATCTTAATAAGAAAAGGGTCTGGATGCAATAAGAAAAGTGTATAACATTGTGGAAAATAGCTAAACCACGGTTGGGTAAATACCTTGATATTTGCAAAATGCAAGGAGTTATGGGAAGTGTAGTAATCTTGGACAGAGTGACGTCCAAGTCCCAGGGCATTTTTTAATGTTTCTGCAATGTTCTGATATTCTTATTTTTAGATTTCTAGTTGTCATGACTACATATTGGAGGCCACAAGGGCACTCCAATAGGTAGATTACATTATTAGTATTGCAGGTGATGAAATCCTTTATATTATACGTTTTATTAGTGGCATTTAACTTAAATTGAGTAGTTTTATTTGGAACTGACCTCTGTGTAGTTTTACAAACAATACATTTTCTAAATTTAAAAAACCTTTGGTGTTTGATAAAGTGGAGGATTTAATTGATTTGTTTTTGGTAAAATGTTTGGTGAGAAGGGATTTAAAATAAAGGGCACCTCTAAAAATGATATTTGGTTTTACAGGAATCATCTCTTTTAGGACATCATCATGTTGTAAGACATGCCAATGTTTTTCAATTATTTTTTTTATTTCTCTATTTTTGTTCTTGTAGTCGAATGTAATTGGAATAGACGGAATGGTCTTTTTATTGATGGTACTTTTATCTCTATATGTGAGAAGGCTGTCTCTATCGTTCAATTTCTTTTCTTCTGAATAGGTTTGTTTCTAAAACTGTATTTTTTTTAAATTGTGGTTTGTTCATCAAAATCTTCTAGTTTGGAGCAGTTTGCAGTTTCTTTTAAGTCTTAAAAACTGGCTTTTAAGGGTATTTTAAAGCCAAGGTATATAGTGACAACTTTTTGTTATGCATACCTTCTTTTAAAAAGTCTTAGTATTTACAATACCTTCTTTAATAAAACTCTAAAGATCTAAAAAGTTGACTTCTTGTTTACTAAAACTCTGTGGTTAAAATAATGCCTTTATCGTTTGTGTTTAAAAACAAGATAAGAGAACTTTCAGAACCTTTCCAGATAAAAAATAAATTGTCGATGTAGCGGAAATATGAGACCAGGTTTGCCCACCAACTATGATCACCCTATAAAGCCTCTGCTTCCCAATCAGCCATAAATAAATTAACATAGCTGGGGGCAAACCTAGTCCCCATCGCTATGCCTCTTTTTTGGAGATAAAAGGGATCTAAAAAACAGAAAAAATTACTGCATAAATTAATCTCTATACCCTCTCTATTAAAATTAATTTGAGGTTCAGAGATCCTTTTTCTCTTTCTTTAATATTCTGGTGACTGCTTCACATCCCTTTTGGTGTGGGATAATTGTGTAAAGGGGCTGTACATCGCAGGTCACCAGAATATAATCTGGGTGCCATGTGAAATCATTTAAAAAAAGAAGGGACATGGAGTCTTTTAAATATGATTTCATACTTTTTTTACTGGTGGTTGAAGTAATTTACCAATGTACTCTGATATATTGGATAAAATAGAATTAATCCCTGAGACAATTGGACAACATGGGGGGCAGAATTCATTTCTGTGTATGTTAGATAAAAAGTAGATTAATGACATTTTTGGATACATTTTATTTAAATAATTGTACTCTTGTTTAATGAGAATATTAAGATTACTTCCTTTAATTAAATAATTATTTAAAACAATTTTGATCTGCGGACTAGGATCTTTGGTTAATTTTTCATATACATTTGTATCATTTAGTTGTCTTAAGGCTTCTTCTATGTACATTTGTTTTGACAGGATAACAAGTTTAATAATGATGTCTTCATCTGCCTGTAATTCTTTAAGAGCTATTTTTTCTTTGTAATTAAGATTAAGTTCGTCAGATTTTTGTTTTTTAATATTGTTAAAATCTTTTAAAACAAGCTTTTCAACACTTCTAAGGGACCTGATCTGAAACTGGAAGGATAACATTTTGATTGTGGCTTTAAGTTAGTATTGATGGCAGTTGAGGTAGTATTTATAGCAGCATGTGTATGGGTTTCTTCTTGAATTTTATGTGGAGTGTAGTTGGATGTGGTTTCTCTATTGTTAAAATATCTTTTTAGGATGGCTTTCCTTATGAATTTGTTTATATCTAAAAATTCCTGGAATTGTTTAAAAGGGTTAGTTGGGGCAAATTTGAATCTCTTACTTAAAACAGCTAATTGGGTAGAAGAGATGTTTTTTTAGGATAAATTAAAAATGCCTAACTCTTTTTCAGTTTCAGTGATTTCTATTCCCCTAACCTTTCTCTTTTGTTTTCTTCTTCCACCACTCCCTCCTCTAAAGCAAGGCTTCTTTTCCTTGCTCTTGGTTGTTGGAATGTTAGTGAGTAGGGCTTGGTGTTTGATCTGATTTCTAAAAAAATATCCTCTGTGTCTCCTTCTGAGTCAATTGGCAATAATTGGTACCTATTAGGATGGATGTGTGGGATAGGTGATCTTGGTTGATTAATGTAATCATAGTTTTTTTTGTGAATATCTAGGCCTTTGTGGTCTTGGGGATAGGTCTCTGTATGTTTTTTTTGTTTTTTATCACGTATGATGTGTGGTTATAGTCGTGATAATAATTGGTGATAATAATTTGGAGAACTGGGAGGTTCTCTTCTGTGCGTGTAGTATGAGGATCTTCAATATCTGTTAATTTGACGTAGATATTGAGGTGCTTTTATAGTCTGGGATTTGCTCGTGTGACCATAGTGAGAGTTTTTGTGAAAATAAGAATTATGGGGGTAGTGTTATGGGTACTTAGACTTGTTTGTGTCAAACTTAGGTGGGGAATCATATCTTTGAAAGTGGGTAGTACGTTTAGGTTGATTGCATAATTGGGGAATCATAGTATTGTACTCTGGTGGAGTTGAGCTTTATTTTTTATTTTGGTGATACGTTCTGATTTGATTATTTGAATAATCATGTTTATCTCGGACATATTTATTCACCTTTATGTGTTTAGTGTCCATTTCAACCTTTTCGGTCTTATTTTGAATAAGATTGGTGTGTCTACAAATGGTGTCAGTTTTTCTTTTAAATCATTAAATCATTTTCTTTTAAATCACGAGATATACTTAGAATCTTAAAATAGCCAGTGATATAGCTCAGTGGGCTAATGCATCATCAATAGAATCTGTTCAAATTCCGGCAGGGTTGACTCAGATCTTCATCCTTCCGAGGTAGATAAAATGAGTCCTATTAAATTGGGTAATAGTAACAACCCCTGGATGTTGGGCTAAGGTAACATGCCCAGGACGTACTTGAAAACCAGAGTAATCTGAATGTACCTTTCCTGGTTAAATACTTTGTTATTATTATTACCTCCTGTACTTACTTATTTTCATTTTCTTTTATTGTATATGATCTATACTGCAACTACTGCCAGAGGGATATCCTACAAGTGGGGAGTTTAAATATCACTGCACGCTGTTTTACCTTGAGCTGGTTATAGCTCTCTTATATGTGAGTTGGCACTTCTGAACCTCAGTGTTATCTGTAGCCAGGTTTACCTACAATATTGCACTATTGGTTCCCTCTGTTTTTGCTCTTTTTACTTATGCTGCTGATGATTTGACCCAAGACATCACATGAACACTTGAAGACAATTATGATTTATAGACTTTGTATTGCTTACTTTTGGTACCTTTTTACTGTATTTTAAATTATTATACCAGTTATTTATTTGTTATATTCGTTCTATTTTGGCGCACCCTGTATCTCTTGTTCTGTTCTCTCTTTCAACTTTATTGGATGAAAGTACCCTCCTGCCTCTCAATCTCTTAATAAACAATGCAACCAGATCTATGAGCACTTCTCCATTCAAAACTGATTGAAGGCCTAAAAAAACAGAATACAATTTTATCTCCAAGGTATTTCTGACAGCAAAGAGGGCATTATCTTGAATTTGAACCAGCTGTCTCTACTTTATCAACTTGAACTTCATTACATTCTATCTAAAGTTAGAAAAATGGTCACTATGGCTGCAGCTTCCCTTTCTGCCATAGGTGGGGGCATGGACCTTAGGGTGAACCTTTGATTTTGATTTTACTTGATTCCTTCCTCTTTGAAATGGATCTCTTCCATATTTTCTTCTGCACCAAAGAATTTACTGCCACTTTGAACAATATGTTCTGCTTGTTATTTTGCTCCCATGTTATTTGCTTACTGACACGTTTGCATGATATTTGACATGTTGACCTTATTGGTTTCACAGTTTTACTGCTATACTTTTCTTCTGTACTGAAAACTTATCTTCCATATACGTAGTTAGAGTGGAGTAACAAAAGTAGTTGGGCTACTGGTGCAAGATTTGTTTGCGGCCCACTACTGCAAGGACCCTAGTCTGTTGTGCAACTTCCACAATGCTTTGCCAGCTGGGGATCTACTATTTGCCAATCCATGCAAGGTTGTATTTAGCACTGAGCAGTGTTTGCAGGTTTAAAAGTAAGCAAGTTTTTGTATGGAGTATTTATGTGTGAATGTAGAGGGTGTATTTTTGAGTAGTTTTGTGTTAGGTGTTTTTATGTACTGTTGCCATTTGATACAGCTGAGTGTTTACTTGTGTGTAGTGTTTGTCTGTGAAGAGGTGTAACTGTATGTAGTGTTAGTGTATGATTGCAGGGATAGTTTTGTGTGCAATGTTGGAGTTTGAATTCTCAGAGTTATGCACATGTACAAATACACTGTCTCACACACACATCTGATAAACATACACTCACATATGCACATAGACATATACACACAGACACACACTGACACATATCGGGATACACAGACACACACACTGACATACATACAGATACAAACAGTGACTTATATACTGATACTAAGTAAAGACATGCAAATACATAGAAACAAACACAGATACACAAATGCACAGATACACACACTGACACACAGGCAGATACACAGACAGACAGACACACACACACACACACATACTAACATACATACAGATGCACAGTTACACACATAATGACACACATACAGATAAACAGACACACATAGTGACAGATACAAACACCGATACAGATACACAGAAAAACACAGATACACAAGGGTACACATCGATGCCCAGATACACATAGATACACATACAGACACACAGATAAATACATTGAAATGCATACAGACACAGATAGATACACAAAAACACATACAGACACATAGATAGATTCACAGACACACATGCAGACATGCATTGAAAAAGTACACATTTAAAGCCACCCTCCAATTTCCTACCTTTTGGGTGCAGGAGGATGGCTTCTCTGGGATCCAGTTGGTTGGCTGAGGCTGTTGGGAGTCAGAGGCTCTCCCACTCCACACCCTTTTCTCTCTTCCTTTTCCTCCCACTCAACTCTGTGTTACATGGGAGGAAGTGACCAGGTATCACTTTAACCTAGTGCTGCTGAAATTACAGGAACCTAATGGTGCTGTTAAAAGTCTGCAGCCTGAAAATACTTTTTCATTTGGTGGCTCTGAGTGCATGGGCCATTCGACGGGCTCCCTGAGCGCTAGTTCCATAGTGCATAGTTACATAGCTGAAAAAAACATGCATCCTTCAAGTTCAACCTTTCTCACATTTGTTTTGGCTGTTGAGCCAAAAGAAGGCAAAAAAACAACACAAGAGCCAAACACAAGTGTTCTCACTTGACTTGTGCACAGTGGAAAGATTTTACAGAATACCATCATCACAGTGGTTTAGTGCATGCGAATATCATCCATGCAAATGTCTAAACTATTTAAACACCGAAAAAGTGCATAAAGATGGACCAATGAGTGTTCAGCAAAATATAAATATTATGTAGATATTTTGCAGTACACTGATAGAAACATTTTCCTGCCATTTTGTTCAAAGATCAAGTGATCTGTAAAACATCAATATTTCTACATTTAGATATTATATATTTATTAAGTATATAAACCCTATTTTTTTATCTCTATTGGTAATTTGATCAGTGAATAAAATCAACATCTAGTGGCTCTCAGGTAACCATCAATCATCTATTTTCCAATTAATCATCTCTTTTTCTGGCTCCACGGACAGAACTCCAAATCATAAATTAAACTAACCAGTTTGTCCATTGTCCATGTTATTTGTTTTATGTTACATCCATATGGCACTTCGACGTTACAGAATTTTAATAACCCATCTATTGGCAGAAATTGGGATGAATTGCAATGCATTTGAAACCACATGCACAAGTCTAATTTGAAAGAAGCGCCAGCACAATTTAACACTACCTCTACTTCTCTCCTGTCTCACAAATAAGGTAGAGTGCCAAATTTGTAAGCAAGGAAAGTCTGTACATAGAGAGAGACAACATTTACAATGAAAGCTAAAATGTGTACATATATCTGTTTACACCATCATCAAATATAGGTATATGTAATTTTAAGACATTTGTTCCTTTTTTGTTTAGATAAATAAAAAAGTTGCAAAACACAATTAAAATTACCTGTACACTTACTTGTAATCCAGCAATTAAATAGTTCACTGCAGCCTGAGCTAGCATTGTGTTCCGCATCATCGCATTTTGTGTGATGATACCAAAAGTAAAATCCTTCAAAAATTGAAGGATATTAGGAGGGTGCACTTCATTAATGACTTTCTGTCTAATAGCCATAGACTCATGTCTTCTCAGAGGTGGCAATGGTTTACAGAAAAAAGGAACAAGATCTATGCACAGCGCTTAGAGTTTTGCTATTTTTTTACATATTGCAACAGCTTAACAAAAATTACACAACACATTATTTTTTATATTTTGTTTCTCACAAAAAATTATATATGACACTTTTTCTTAATTAAAATATCCCTATTTGTAAGATTATATACCCTGAACAAAAAAAGTAATGCTTTAACTATCCAGTATTATATAATTACTAATCCTTTAAAAATCAGTCAACAATACAGAATGCAGTAAAACCCATGTAAAAATGTTGTGATCAGAAGTTTATTTACTGTTAAAAAAAAAAACCTTCTGGCAACGTGTTACCCTCTTGCTTTGTGTCATACACCATGATGCTGCTTTTAAGAATAATAATAAAAGGTACGTTTTAATGATTTTGCAAGCATGTGGATGGTGGATCTTAATTATCTTCTGTTTTTTTTTCTTTTTCTTTTTTTTTTTTGTTTGAGTTGTATTTATTTTTTGGGAAACTGCATATGAAGAAGATGAAAAAGTATTGGCTTTTGCAGTAAGGATATATTAAATCTAGTAGTTATTGGGTTACTACTCCACTACCTCTTTTGTTGATTTTCAATTTAAACCTGTTAAAATTATAGAGTTCACTGGCCAGTGGCTTGAGGAACAATACCCAAACTGCAATTTGGAACAACATTTAAATCAAACTTCCAGGAATAGTTATCCCAGAATTTCAAATATAATATAATAAAATAGAGTATGTACATTGTTAAATAAATACCCTGGCTCATTATTATTCACCTCCATTGTTCTCTTATATACATTACGCATAACTACAAATGTTATCCGAACATCATCGATGTGCAATATGTTTGTTTGCTCATTGCCTGCTAATGCATTTGTGAGGTCATTAAATTCTAAGCGAAAAAAAAAATGTTCACAATATGTCACATCAAATTTAGTTGTAAATATGATATGCCTATTTTATAATATTACAACGGAATTAAAATAACCTCAGATTTTGAAAATTCAGAAAAGATGCAAACTAAAACAGCAATAAAGCAAATGGACCATAAATAAAGTATATAAATAATATACATGAAAACAATGTAGCAGTTTTCAGTTTTAAAATATAATACTACAAATGTTATTTATTTCTGTCTTTAATAGAGGGGCTTTTCTAGAAACATATGGCTATAAATTCACAGAGAAAGCCAGACTTTATAATTCTCAGTGCTAAGTCATCTGATCTGATAAACAATTTCTAATGATTCATATACTTTTATATCCAAATAAATTGCAATGGCAAATTATGATTCATCACTTGATTGGGTATAAATTGTTATCTCACCTACCTGTCATTAAATTACATGGAATGTATGTATCCTTTAGCATAAATATAATGCTATAATATTATTTTTCCCATAAGCTAATACTGTGTGCAATTAACGTTCCAGGAAAAGTAAATTTTGAAAAGAAAAACTGTGAAATAATTTCTTCATTTCCTGCATCTAAGCTTCTTAGATTTGCACGAGGGAAAAGCACTAACCTCTGTAGCTCAGCAAATGAAAACAGAAAAAGATAATAGTGATTTAAAGTGCACCACATGGCATGACCCAAGTCTCAGTGCACCGAGTGTAAAATCTTGTTTGCTTAAATTATTTGTTTCTTCTGTCTAATGAATGTAATTTTAATATACAAATTATAACACTCGCATTTCTTTGAAATGTTGATTTAGTTTAATTATGAAAATCACCAAGGTATTTTCTGGCTGCGGCATCACTCCCTGTACTAGGATTAATCACATCAACATCATTCATTTAATCTTCAAAAAGCAAGCAGTTGTCCACAAGAGCTTTCAAATCGCTTCATTAGTGCAATTTCTCAGACTCAAATACGTTGCTGGCAGCATACGATTGAAAGTAAGGAAGGTCATTGTATTCCTTTATTCCTTGTTCTAATTATTTTGGAATGTTTCGATATTTTATGTAAAGTTATATGTGTGGGGATGCCTGTCTCTCCGATGCCTGGGTTCTTGGCAGCTACACTCATACAGACATTGGGATTAAAACTAAATAAACTGTGATGTGAATTATGATCAACATCTCAATTTGTATGAATCAGCATTATCTAGCTAGCGCTTGTGATATTTCAGCAAAGATTAGATAATTTGTGAAATAGTAAGATGAATAGAATGTAAGCTTTGGAGGTAAATGTGTATCTAGTGCTTAAGGTCCTCATCTTACTACAAAAACGAATTAAGTAGTAAGAATAAAAGTATACTATAGAGCAGGGGTAGGCAACCTTTTAGCAGCACTGTGCCGAAATATGATTGTGATGTCCCATAGTGTGTCGGTCCTATTTCTTTAAATTGAGGTGTGCATGTTGCCATATTCAGCTTGTGTTATTTATACTGCAGTTGCTTTGTATCGTTGTATTTGTGCGTATATGAGCTATTATATTGTATATGTTCATTAATACTTTGTGGTATCATGTATAATACCTATGAATTTGGGCTTTGTATGGGGGCTGCTTGTGGAATTGTGTGTGGATGGATATGTCACATTGTGTATTTGGTAGTGTGTTTATGTGTGGGGGCTGTTTGGGGTATTGCATGTGAGAGGCTGCATGTGGGGATGTGTGCATGTATGTGGATTGTTGGTGGTGTTGTGTTTGTGCGGACTGTGTGTGTGTTTGTATTATTTGTATGAGAGGAGGGTTATTCTGCAGCTATGTGTATATCTAGCAGTGTGGGATGCTTCCCTGGGTTTTAGTGGGGACCAGGCTGGCCAGGTACAGCTCAAGGACATAAGCTGCAACAGGAAGCTGTGTGCTGCTTTACTCCAGTGTGGATTCCCGTTCCCAAGTGCTGGGAGGAAGTGATCTCTGATAACATCTTCTACATGCTGCAATGCATAAATTGAGGATTGTCCATCACTACCTTTTCGTATTATAAATATCTGAAATTTCACTGGGACTCCTGACAGGCCAGAGCCTGTTTGGCTCTTGTAGCCTTGAGTGCCATGCAAAGGCACCTCGAGTGCCGTGCATGGCACTAGTGCCGTAGATTGCCTACCCCTGCTATAGAGTCTGATCAGAAGCTTCCTGACTAGTGAAGTGTTGATCCGCAGTGCAAAACAATAAAGTAGCCATTTTTTGGGAATGCAACAAATTTGGTTATGTACCCTCTATACCCCTCTTATGATGCTTAACACAAGTTTGGAATGAGAAATTCTTATTTAAGTGGACCTGTCATGGCCCAAACAACTTATGCTCATTAGATTAAGCATACAATTCTAGCTATACATTGAGCTTGCAGTTTTACAAGCAAATGTATAGATTAGGAGAAAAACTTTTTTAAATTAGTTTTTTTTCCCAGCTGTCAGTCAATGCCTCAGCATGCAGAGGCATTGACTAATAAGGGAAAGTAGAAGACAAATCCCTCAGGAGGTCCTTCTACTCTCCTAAGCATAGCAACCACAGCACATGCACTGTGGTTGCTATGCAAAGTCCCTAGCAAGGGAGTGAATTTACATCACTCCATTCCTATATATATATATATATATATATATTTGTAATAGAAGAAATTTCAGGTAAATTAATTTTTGTTCACAACAGGTACATAATGACCACACTCAGACTATATTCTTCTTTGAAGAAAATCTACTTCATTGGCAATAATTTCAGAACAGTTTATAAAATAAACCTGTTTATTTTGTTCTTTATTTTGCTGCAGATGAATTATACAAGTTTTACCTAGAGTGCTTATGTGAAAACTTCCTTAATTATCTTCTCAGTTTCCCTTATCCCTTGTGAAATACATCTAATATCAATAAATATAATTAATTATGCCATTTATCATACATTTATATAATGTATAAAAAGTGCAAGTCTTATTTCTGCATTTCCTTGTAATTGAGAGTACTTAGAGGAGAAAACTGAAAACGACATAAAGACAATAATATAGTTGGAATGGAAGAAAGAAACATGGCATACGAATAATCAGATAATTGTAAATGGAGAATGAAAGAAAGTGGTTAGAAAAGAATTTATAAACCACCATGAGCAGAATTATCCAAAGTCATTAATAATTAATTATTCCTGAACTGGAAGTAAATTGTGGGGACTGATGTATGCACAATTGTGTTGTTTTTTTGTTATGACAACCCCTGACAAAGTTGGATTCAAGTTCAACAAAAAGCACAGGGTCAGTTTCTATTATTTTTAAATGTGTCTCAACCTCCTAATCAATGCCATTAAGAGAAGAAATGTCTCACTCGTTCTTTGGGCAGTGATAATTATTCAAGTTAAACTATACCCTGTTTTTCTAAAGTACTAAATTAAAAAGAAAATACACTTCTGGCTGAGATAGAAAACTGTATATATAAACTGGGATGTTCTTAATTAGCAAGAATTGTCTACTTAGATCTTCAAGATAGAAAATTAAAAATATCTCAAGACTATCTAGAATATGTACAATTTGAAATTACTATGTAACAAATGTTATGAACATTAGCATAAATACAAATGAGTTACTTGACATTAGGATTGCAATTGTGGCTCCTGTTTAAATAGAATTCAACTTTTCTAACTAGCACAAGAGAATTGTCTTCACAGAACAGTGAGCAGCACTATAATTTCACCTTCCTGGCCACGTCTTCCCTGCCTTCCATGTATCCTCATAAAATATTTACAGACCTGCTGAATGACCACTCAGATTAGCCTAGAAAAACTCTTGCAGAATCCCTGATGATGTCATGGAAATGTTAAACCCATTATGCTAAGTTGGGCCCGCCATCTACTCTGACCTCTTGGCATAAACATCATAAGACAGATAGATATTTTTACATATGAGTTAGTCTAAATTCAAATCTAGAACATATGCTCCCGCAGTCTGCTATCATCTCAATCAACACTGATAAATATTTAACAAAGAAGAAAAAATATGTCTCGAGAAACCTATTTCCCACAAAACTTTGCTTAAAGACTGTGAATATTATATATCTAATTATATGAAAATATACTTTTTGCTTTGCAGGATAAATAAAAGATTTTTTGTAAACATGCTCTTTAACTAGATGTCCTATGTCAAACGTGCAACTCTGTATTGTACGTGCTGTCTAGAACATACTTAATAAAGGAAGTACTTGCAGAAGTTTCATTTTGATAAAAAGTCATCATTATTATTATTGTTTGCTTGAATCATATACAAAAATGCATCAATCAAGATTTTTTTTTATATTTTTAGGGAGTTTTTCAAAATTATTTTTTTTATATGATCTGATAGCGGCAATCTAGTTGACTGAAATGACGTATAAACCTTTAGTGCTTTTCGTGCATTAATAAATTACATACATATTACATTTTACATAAATACATTATTTGTGTGATTAAAAGTGATTGCTTTAATGTCAATATTACTGAATAAAAGTAATGATGGTCCAGGCACTCAAGTTCAATCCAGTGGGCAGATTTATTGGAGCAAAATCGAAACAACATTTCGGCCCACAACAGGGCCTTTGCTTGACAAATTGTATACTTGGATCTGTTATTTATCTCTACAAAAATACAAGGGACTTGGATTTAATATTGAAATGGTGCCAAATGAGACCAGTGACTTTTTAGGACCCCAATCTGAGATCCAGCTCCTCCCAGCCCCTCCACCCCCCAGCAAAGCCGCTGATAAAAACAAAAATTAGAGCACTTCATTGCATAAGCTACGGATCCTGAAGCTGCAGAGGATACCAAAGTTTTTAGGAGACAGAAAGGGCTCTATTACATGGCATATCCAGATCAATAGGTGTCCAATAGAGGTCACCTTTTTACTGATTTAATTATTGACCCTTTTTATTTTACATTTGATTCCTAATTTGGCAATTTCTCAGGACTTCACAGTAATTTCTGAACTAATTTAACCTCAATGATTTTACATTAGAATTCAAATACAATTTGGATGAATTAAATAAATATATATATATTATATAAAACATCATAAAATAACTTGAATTATTGTTTTTATGTTGTACAGTATTTATAACTATGATATATGTATTTGTTAGAAAATATTATATCTCTTAAAAAGCACTGTACAATTTTCAATATGTCTTTTCAAAAGTTTCCTTATTATTTACTCACCTGAATCCATCTCCAGTCTTCCTGCACCTCCTACAAAAACTGGTGTGATAAGGTGAATGGGGTGGTCTGTGAGGGAGTCTATATCTCGACAGACTTGTTCAGAGAGGCATATGATTTTTAACCCCAGGGGGAGTATGTGTAGTTTGTGTTTTGCACAACACAACGCATGGTTTAGTTATGGGCCCCTGGGGTGGAGTATTTGGAGAGCAGGGTGGGCCAGTGCTCCACTCCGCAGCTTAGCGGTTTTCTTGGAAGACTTAGATCCAGCCCAGGGTTTTGGACTGTCTCCAACCTACTGCTCAGCTGTAGGTAATCGGCTGCAGCAAGTGGGAATAAAATCCCTCCCTGCTAGGCAGGTAAGGGAGAATGGTTTTTTCTCTCTGAAAGGCTGGAAGCAGCAGGCTGGCTAAATACTGGAGTGCTGAGAGTGGACAAAGACTCTAGGTTAGTGAAACCACTATTGTTTTGTTTAGTTTAATCCTGAGAGATAGGGGACCTAATGTCAGTTAGTGCTCAGACGAGCCAGGTTTTTGTTTATAGGGTTTTCTGTTACTTTTGTTTTCATTTAACTGCTGTATCCTGTGTGGATTTACAAAATAAAGTGCCTGAGTATTTGCAACTACAAGGACTGTGCATGTTTTTGCCCTAGAGGACCGTGCTACCTGCAAACAAGGATCACAATATGGTGGAGAATGCGGGCAAAGTAGCACAGTGAGGGTCTGTGGGTGTGCCAGTCATTTGGTAGTCTGCTTGAGGACTTTTATTTTTGCAGACCTGTTAAGCAAACAAGTAGCACCGTACCTTTAAGACTGTTACCTGCTTGGTGCTATGATGGAGGAGCTGGTGAAAGCTCTGGTACAGGCAACCGCTGTACAACAGGAAACAAATCGTCTACTGGTTAACCAGGTTGAGAACCTGAAGGAAGCCCAGCAGATGGATAGAGCTGCCCTTACTGAGGTGTTGCAGAGAGTGATATTGCCATCTGCAGGGAGCCCCCCTGGTGAAAGGGGATCCCGTATCCGTGCCACAGACTTCCTGCATAAGATGACAGAGACAGATGATGTGGAGGCTTATCTCACCACTTTCGAGAGGGTTGCTGCCCGGGAAAGATGGCCACTGGGCCAATGGGCGGGGCTTCTAGCTCCATGCCTGAGTGGGGAGTGCCAAAAAGCCTATGAAGACCTACCTTCTGACCAGATCCAGGATTACAAGCAACTTAAAGCTGAAATTCTAAAGCGCATTGGCGTAACACCAGCCATTCGAGCCCACAGATTTCATAATTGGGCATACGATGTGAGTAAACCTACCAGAGCCCAGATGTATGGATTGCTCAGGCTCGCTCAGAAGTGGCTGGAGCCAGAGCGCAACCCTGCTACCAAGATAGTGGAAATGGTTGTGATGGACCGTTTTCTCAGACACCTGCCAACAGGACTGCGACAATGGGTCTGCCAAGGGGACCCTCAGGATCCAGAAGCAATGATGTGCCTGATTGAAAGGTATTTGGTTGCCAAGGAGCCATACAGTATTGATCCTCATCAGAAGTCCCGACCGGCTAACAACCGGATAAGCGGGAAAGTGGGAAACAAAAGACAAAACTTTATACCGAACCTTGAACCATGTGACCGGGGTGGCAGAAGGTCCCCACCAGCTCCATTACGGCTACAAGACCACGCTGAGGGACAACTCCGGTGCTTTAAATGCCATGAGCTTGGACACTTTGCACGCAGCTGTCCAGAGAATGAAGAGCCCATGCAGTGTGATGTAGGGACAAGGGCTCTGCATAGGACTGTATTGACTTGCTCAAAGATGTGTGTGGTGACTAGTGCTATTAATGCAACACATTTAATAATGGTGAGGGTGGAAGGAAAGAATGTACAAGCTCTAATTGATTCAGGGAGTGAGGTTACCTTGATAAAAAGTTTTCTGCTCCAGCCAGGGAAATTAGACACCAAACAAGTGATTGATATTGTGTGTATACATGGTGACACCCACACATACCCCACGGCAGAGGTTGAGTTTGGCACCAAGGTAGGGGAGGTTAAATGCTCTGTAGGGGTAGTGCCCCTATTACCGTATGATGTGGTATTAGGGAGGGACTTTCCCCATTTCTGCCGCCTATGGGAAAAGTGCTCTGCTCATCCAAAAATGCGCTCTGAGGAGCTACCCGGGGTAGAGTGTATAGAAAATATTTTTCCTTTCTCCGATTTAGAATGTGACGAGCAAGAGACACCCTTGGTGTGCCTGGGTAATGAGGTAGAACCTCCCCATACTGAAGACCCTATAGAAGAAGTGGAGTTTCAGGATCTCAGAGTCCCCCCTGGTAACTTCCGAGCAGCCCAATGGGAAGATAAGTCCTTGACAGCTGCAAGAGAGAATGTGCAAATAGTGGAGGGTACAAGGGCGGACCCTGACAAGCCCTTGAGCTTTCCTTATTTCATGGTGAAAAATAATCTGCTGTATCGAGTAGAGAAAAAGGGGGAAGAGGAGGCAGAACAGTTGTTAGTTCCCCAATCTCACCGAAACACTGTTTTAAAACTAGCCCATAGCCATGTGTTAGGTGGGCACCTTGGTTTTGAAAAAACGAGGGAACGAATTCTGACCCGATTCTATTGGCCAGGGGTATTTTCGGCAATAGAGAGGTTTTGTAAATCCTGCCCAGAATGCCAACTGAAAGCTCCGCATAAGGGCTTCCGTAGTCCATTGGTACCCCTTCCCATCATAGAGGTTCCATTCGAAAGAATAGCAATGGACCTGATAGGGCCGTTGCCTAGGTCCGCAAGAGGACATCAGTACATTTTAGTTGTTGTGGATTATGCAACACGGTATCCAGAGGCAGTACCTCTACGGAATGCCACCTCTAAAAATGTTGCAAGGGAGTTACTGATGATGTTTAGCAGGATGGGTATACCTAAGGAAATTCTCACAGATCAGGGAACCCCTTTTATGTCAAAAATCATGCGTGATTTGTGCAAATTGCTCAGAATCAAGCAGCTGAAAACCTCGGTATACCATCCGCAAACTGATGGATTAGTGGAGAGGTTTAATAAAACTCTAAAGGCTATGCTGCGGAAGGTGATAGACAAGGATGGAAAAAATTGGGATTATCTCATACCCTACCTGATGTTTTCTATTAGAGAAGTCCCGCAAGCTTCCACAGGGTTCTCACCTTTCGAGTTAATGTATGGTAGGCATCCAAGAGGCATACTGGATGTTGCCAAGGAAACATGGGAACAAGAGCATACCCCCCATCACAGTCTTATAGAGCATGTAGCGCAAATGCAAGAGCGGATCAAAGCGGTAATTCCCATAGTTAGGGAAAACATGGAAAAGGCCCAGAGAGCCCAACAAGCAAGCTATAACCGGAACGCAAGGCTACGGGTCTTCAAACCAGGTGATAGGGTTCTAGTTCTTGTTCCCACGGTAGAAAGCAAATTCTTAGCCAGCTGGCAAGGGCCATATGAAATCACTGAGCGGATCAGTGACGTGAACTACAAAGTAAGACAGCCAGGCAGACGGAAGCCAGAACAGACATATCATATAAATTTATTGAAGCCATGGGTAGAACGAGAGGTTCTCATCATGACCAGAGATAAACCTACTCAAGCCACTCGTGAGCAGGGTCCGGAGGTGCATGTCGCTGATACTCTTGCCCCCCATCAGAAACAGGAAGTCAGGGAGTTTGTGTCTAAAAATAGGGATGTGTTTTCCCCAATACCAGGAAAAACACATATAATCAAGCATGATATCCTAACTGAACCTGGGAAGAAGATCAATCTGAAGCCCTACAGGATACCTGAGGCTAGACGTGAAGCGGTTAGTGCAGAGGTTAAAAAGATGCTTGAGTTGGGGGTGATTGAAGTATCACAAAGTGAGTGGAACAACCCAATTGTGTTAGTGCCCAAACCAAATGGGGAAATCCGTTTCTGTAATGATTTCCGTAAGCTAAATGATATCTCTAAGTTTGATGCCTACCCGATGCCTCGTGTGGATGAGCTAATAGAGCGATTAGGTAAGGCCAGATATCTGAGCACCTTGGACCTCACCAAGGGATACTGGCAGGTACCCCTGACTGAGAAAGCAAAAGAGAAAACCGCGTTTTCTACCCCTGATGGGTTGTTCCAATATAAAGTGCTACCATTTGGGTTGCATGGTGCCCCAGCAACGTTTCAGCGTATGATGGATAAGATACTTCACCCCCACAGACAGTATGCAGCCGCCTACCTGGATGATGTGGTGATTCACAGTGCGGACTGGGAAACCCACTTGATGAAGGTTCAGGCAGTTGTGGATAGTATAAGGGCTGCCGGTTTGACAGCTAACCCTGCTAAGTGTTCTTTAGGGCTAGAAGAAGCAAAATATCTGGGGTACACTATCGGGCGGGGGCTCCTTAAACCACAAGAGAGCAAAGTAGCAGCCATCACCAGTTGGCCACGTCCTGTAACTAAAAAGCAAGTCAGGGCTTTTTTAGGCTTAACCGGCTACTATCGTAGGTTCATCCCTGGGTACGCTACCATTGCCAACCCATTGACTGAACTTACTAAGGCAAAAGGCCCGATTATGGTTAAGTGGACCCCGGAAGCGGAGCATGCCTTTCAAGTCTTGAAGGGAGCCTTGTGTGCTGACCCTGTTTTGGTGGCTCCGGATTTCACTAAACCATTTGTGGTACAGACCGATGCGTCTGATGTGGGCCTTGGCGCGGTTCTGTCCCAGGTACATGAAGGAGAGGAACATCCTGTCATGTATCTGAGCCGGAAAATGAATCCCCATGAACAGAGGTACTCCGTAGTGGAAAAGGAATGCCTGGCGATAAAATGGGCTTTAGAATCCCTGAGATATTACTTACTGGGGAGATGTTTTACACTGATCACGGACCATGCTCCTTTAACATGGATGAGGCATAACAAAGAGAAGAATGCCAGGGTGACTAGATGGTTCCTAAGTCTTCAGCCTTACCAGTTTACTATTGCTCACAGGGCCGGAACTGCCCAAGGTAATGCGGATGGCCTCTTCCGAGTTCACTGTTTATGGTCCCAGGCCGCTCGCCCCGATGGGTCTGAGCTGGGGAGGGGGATATGTGATAAGGTGAATGGGGTGGTCTGTGAGGGAGTCTATATCTCGACAGACTTGTTCAGAGAGGCATATGATTTTTAACCCCAGGGGGAGTATGTGTAGTTTGTGTTTTGCACAACACAACGCATGGTTTAGTTATGGGCCCCTGGGGTGGAGCATTTGGAGAGCAGGGTGGGCCAGTGCTCCACTCCGCAGCTTAGCGGTTTTCTTGGAAGACTTAGATCCAGCCCAGGGCTTTGGACTGTCTCCAACCTACTGCTCAGCTGTAGGTAATCGGCTGCAGCAAGTGGGAATAAAATCCCTCCCTGCTAGGCAGGTAAGGGAGAATGGTCTTTTTCTCTCTGAAAGGCTGGAAGCAGCAGGCTGGCTAAATACTGGAGTGCTGAGAGTGGACAAAGACTCTAGGTTAGTGAAACCACTATTGTTTTGTTTAGTTTAATCCTGAGAGATAGGGGACCTAATGTCAGTTAGTGCTCAGACGAGCCAGGTTTTAGTTTATAGGGTTTTCTGTTACTTTTGTTTTCATTTAACTGCTGTATCCTGTGTGGATTTACAAAATAAAGTGCCTGAGTATTTGCAACTACAAGGACTGTGCATGTTTTTGCCCTAGAGGACCGTGCTACCTGCAAACAAGGATCACACTGGCAAGAGATAAACCCGCAGTAATCAAAGTAAAATAAAGGAAAGAAGTGTTAATCATTCTCCGTACATTTATTTCCATAATGGTACATAATAATGTGGTTTCATCAAAATGGAACTTGTCAATGTTTTTTAAGCAGGAATCTGTGAAATCTATATTGCACCATGATTGAATATATTGCTGTTGGATTGACTCTCGTGAACATTGATGGAACATCTGCATCAGTGCTGAAAGACAAATTATTTAATACATTAAATGTTAAGTTTGGCAAAGTTGACAACTGAGTAGCATGTAAAAACATTAGCCGGTTGGAGAACTAACGGACACTGTATGAGATTAGACTACCTAAAATAAAATAGCAGAAATGGCACACTTCTGAAAAGCTATGCCTAGGACACAAACTAGAAAGTGGTGATTTGGTGGTGAAGGCTGGCCCCAAGTACTACTATTATTGTGAAAAGCACAGGCTTACGAATGTGAGTATATCGGAGTTAAACTCCTGTGTTGCCTACCCTTTAAAATGATGAACTCAATGCTTCATCTGGATGCCTTGTTTATATATTCCAAAAAATGTGCAACTGTAAACCACAATTTCACAATGGAAAAATCTGTGACTGATGCTAAGGTTGTGCATTATGATACTCGGAAATCAGTATATTCTCAAGGAGTTAGTTAAATGATTCTGAAACTGAATGTGAAGATTCTTGAGGTCCCAGAGCAAGAGGGCAGATTCTCAAAGTCCATTGACAAAAGTGAATTGGCAGATTCTCAGGTTAAACTGACACATTTTCACAATTTTAGAACGTATGGTCAAATTACTCAGGTCAGTGGAGAGATTGAATGGGTGGACAGATTATAAGTGTATCAGTGTGACTCAACAATTCTTGGGTGTGAATGAGCAAAATTCTCAAAACGTATATCAATATTTTTTGGTGGATAGGCAAATTACATGGGCAAATTACAAGAGCTTATAACAGGATTTATAGTGTATGGTGCCTATCATACAAGTCATGTGTTTTATGCAATGTTTTTGTTTTTTCAATACAATTATTACTTACAGGTCTGTACCTATGAATTCTGTGTTTGGTGGAGCAGGACTTAATGTACAACTGAAAGCAGGCACGTTCAGTTAACAGCTGTTGGTCAGATTACAGTAGAATTTGACCAAACTTGGCTTCTCGGCCAGATACAAAAAGTGAATATTAACAAAATCTTCAAAGTTTCCTTAAATGCAAAAAACAAGAAGTGAAAACTTGATGACAGTTGTTCTTTAAATACAATATGTGGGATACATGTGCTGCCCATGTGAAATCACTTCAGTAAATTAATTCCACAAATTACAGTGGAGCATCTTGAGTCTTTTTTTAAAACATATAGAATTCATAAGCACAAACAATATGGTGGGAAAATGGTTAATCACAGCAAATATTTTTTTAATAAAAGAGTATTTGGAAGGGGTACCAAAATAATAATTTCCTTAGGGAACTGAGGATCCTTAAACACAACCCCATCTCCTGTCATGTGATGTGTCTTTTTTTTCTTTCAAAGGTGAATGTGGGACTGATAGAAGAAACTCTCCATGAAGGTGATATTTTCCTTCTACTGCTAAATGTCAATATGGGACTGCTCTGCAAGACGTTATCCTTCAAACAGGTGATGATGTTTCTACTTGAGGATGAGAAAAATTACTTTAACTCCATGAATTCTTCGCATTGTACATTAGTGGGTGACACAGAGTAATTTTCAATTAATTGTCAGACTGTCCAGGAAAAAAGCAAGTATGAAAGTACACGTTACTATGAAAATAATCCAGAAGACAGATTGTCTGGAAAGTACATTTCATACCAACAACGCATGTTGAATAGGTGTGGCCATTATTGTGGATATACAGAAGTGATGGGTTATAGGAATGGTTATAGCCAAGTGAAACTTGGGCAGCAAGTCATGAAAAGGATTAAGGGTTCTGCATATCTAATAACACTTCCAACAGACAAAGAGGCTCACTTTAAATGTCAGGGGTAGGAATGTGGGGTGGCCATGCATGGGGCTGTTCTGGGAAATTTTAGGTGACTTACTAATAACAATGTTTGTAACTAAAATGTAATCTACAACAAATCAATATATTTACACAGACTGATTTCTAAACACTTTACCATTAGAGATGTCGCGAACCGTCCGCGAACTTCTCATGGATGCTGTCCAGGAAGTAGGAGGGTCTGGGAGGGAGGGTCTGCCGGAGATTGGCTGGGATTTGTCAGCTGACTGGAGTTCGCCGCGAACGGTTCGTGGCGAACCGTGGCGAACCGTTCACGAGAAGTTCGCGGACGGTTCGCGACATCTCTATTTACCATGTGTAATATTTATCTATTATACACTAAGACACAGTAACAATATGGAGCTCCTAGAAAAGAAGAACAAAATAAGGAAGAGGCACAATTAGGAAATGTCTGTCTGCTACTGCATGCTGTTAAGCTTGATCGGTTGGAAAGATGGACCCACAGCAGCTGCCAGACAATGAGTGGAAAGGCCATGCTATCTCCAATAAGAGGCCATTATGAACACAATTTATTTGTCTCGTCCAATATTTATCTACCTACAACACAGAAATGTTCTGTTGGAGATATACATAATTAGTACAGAACAGCACTGCTACATGTGCTAGTATCACTGGCGTACATATAGGGGTTGCAGGGGTCACAACTGCGTCACTCCAGGGGGCCAGAGCCGCCCTGCGGACCCCTGCAACCGGGTATCAGGTGCCATCTTTTGCAGTCCAGGCCCCCATGGCAAACTGCCAGGGACGCCACTCAAGGGGTCCATTGGGTGGCCCATGCTGTTAGGGCCACCCGATGGAGATGGATTCTCAGGGGGCCCGGTCAGGACTGCGGTGCTTTAACAGCGCGATCAGGCCCCCTGTGATGACATTACTGCTGGAAAGAAGTGACTGTCCCGGTCACTCCTCCCAGCAATCACACAGAGCCCGCGTGGGAGGAAGGGCAAGGAGTCAGAGTGGGAACTCTGACTCCCACCAGCTTGAGCCACCACTGGACCCCAGGGAATGTCCCCCCCTGCACCTAAAAGGTAGGAAAAGGGAGGTTGACTAAAATATTTTGTATATGTGTGTGTTTGTGTGTATGTATGTGTCAGTCTGTATGTATGTTTCTGTGTGTGTGTGTGTGTGTGTCTGTCTGTATGTGTATGTGTCTATATGTCTTTGTAGGTAAGTATGTGTCATTGTATGTGTGTTTTTGTGTATGTCTGTGTTTCTGTCTATCTGTATGTGCCTGTGTGTGTGTATGTGTCTTTAAAGGAAGCCAACTTACCTTTCCATCATTTCCAAAGCTGCTACCCACTTCAGAATTTGTTTTCTCTGCTGGGCAGGATTACTGCTTTTGACTGGAGTATCATTAATATGTTCCTCCCCTCCTATGGTGTCAGTCTTTCAGAAGCAGCCAGGGAAGAACCAGAACATGGTGAGAGGTTAGAGAATATTTCAGGCATACAAGTATTCAACAATAGTACTCTGTAATGTCTTATCAAATTAAGTTTGCATCCTATAATTACTGACATTTGCCTTGATTTAATATTGATGGCTAAGCCTTTCAAATTATTTGATATTTTTTGATAAACTTGATTTAATTTTATGAATATTAGATTTGTTTTAATATATCGATATTTATATTTTTATATATGATACATCTTTGTGTCTATGTGTGTTTATCTTTGTTTCTATGTGTGTGCATGTGTCAGTGTGTGTATCATTGTGTCTAGGTGTGTGTATGTGTCACTTGGTAATGGAAAATGAAGAAACCAGAAATTAAAAAAACAAAACAAAATACAGACACTTGCATCACACAACCACTGTATGCAATCCAAACATTGACGCTACTCACACTTACACTGATGCCCTTCACAGATACACTTCACACAAATAACACCCATACAACATACATTAACACTATTCACAAATAATTTCCTTCATTCACACAGACAAATACTGACACATTAATCAAATAACTGCTACAATACACGCATGCATTTGCCCACACTGACCTACCATAGAAATATAACACTACATTTAAACAAACTGATAATGTTTTTTAAATATACCTGAGCACTCTCTTGCATACTCCACACATTACACACCACCTTGGTCAACACATCGAGACACTCTGCATTTACACCCATTACACACAAATACACAATTTTGCACAACACTCAAAATAATTCTTGCATTCACCCACTCAAAGGTGTTATTAAATTCATACATACATATATTACAAACATATGAACACATATACACTGCTCAAAAAAATAAAGGGAACACTTAAATAACACAATGTAACTCTAAGTCAATCACACGTCTGTGAAATCAAACTGTCCACTTAGGAAGCAACACTGAGTGACAATCAATTTCCCATGCTGTTGTGCAAATGGGATAGACAACAGGTGGAAATTATAGGCAATTAGCAAGACACCCCCAATAAAGGAGTGGTTCTGCAGGTGGTGACCACAGACCACTTCTCAGTTCCTATGCTTCCTGGCTGATGTTTTGGTCACTTTTGAATGCTGGCGGTGCTTTCACTCTAGTGGTAGCATGAGACGGTGTCTACAACCCACACAAGTGGCTCAGGTAGTGCAGCTCATCCAGGATGGCACATCAATGCGAGCTGTGGCAAGAAGCGCAGTGTCCAGAGCATGGAGGCGCTACCAGGAGACAGGCCAGTACATCAGGAGACGTGGAGGAGGCCGTAGGAGCGCAACAACCCAGCAGCAGGACCGCTACCTCCACCTGTGTACAAGGAGGAACAAGAAGAGCACTGCCAGAGCCCTGCAAAATGACCTCCAGCAGGCCACAAATGTGCATGTGTCTGCTCAAAAGGTCAGAAACAGACTCCATGAGGGTGGTATGAGGGCCCGATGTCCACAGGTGGGGGTTGTGCTTACAGCCCAACACCGTTCAGGACATTTGGCATTTGCCAGAGAACACCAAGATTGGCAAATGCGCCATTGGCGCCCTGTGCTCTTCACAGATGAAAGCAGGTTCACACTGAGCACATGTGATAGACGTGACAGAGTCTGGAGACGCCGTGGAGAACGTCCTGCTGCCTGCAACATCATCCAGCATGACCAGTTTGGCAGTGGGTCAGTAATGGTGTGGGGTGGCATTTCTTTGGGGGGCCGCACAGCCCTCCATGTGCTCGTCAGAGGTAGCCTGACTGCCATTAGATACCGAGATGAGATCCTCAGACCCCTTGTGAGACCATATGCTGGTGCGGTTGGCCCTGGGTTCCTCCTAATGCAAGTCAATGCTGGACCTCTTGTGGCTGGAGTGTGTCAGCAGTTCCTGCAAGATGAAGGCATTGATGCTATGGACTGGCCTGCCCGTTCGCCAGACCTGAATCCAATTGAGCACATCTGGGACATCATGTCTCGCTCTATCCACCAACGTCACGTTGCACCACAGACTGTTCAGGAGCTGGCAGAGTCTTTAGTCCAGGTCTGGGAGGAGATCCCTCAGGAGACCATCCACCACCTCATCAGGAGCATGCACAGGCATTGTAGGGAGGTCATACAGGCACGTGGAGGCCACACACACTACTGAGCCTAATTTTGACTTGTTTTAAGGACATTACATCAAAGTTGGATCAGCCTGTAGTGTGGTTTTCCACTTTAATTTTGAGTGTGACTCCAAATCCAGACCTCTATGGGTTGAAAAATTTGAATTCCATTTTTTAATTGGGGTGTGATTTTGTTGTTAGCACATTCAACTATGTAAAGAACAAAGTATTTCAGAAGAATATTTAATTCATTCAGATCTAGGATGTGTTATTTCTGTGTTCCCTTTATTTTTTTGAGCAGTGTATTTACAGTAAAACTTTATGCATGTACATAAATAATTCCACAGTGGTACTAGGTACATGAACAAGTACCTACACTCACAATACACACAGCCAGACATGCTTTCATGAACATTCCCTTTATGCTATATGCACACACAGGGTGTATTTTCTAAACTTAAAACTGACAAAACAAATGCACATTTTATGCAAAATGGACACATTAGAAACATTTTACAACTCAAATTTTACTAGTGTATTTTTACCTATAATTTTAATTACATAGTCAGTTCTCCAATATTCTATATTTAGTGAAAAAGCAATATATTTATATTTGTATGTGTGTACATTGGACAAGGGGGCCCAGGAACTAAGTTTGTCCGGGGGCCCTGATTGCCATCAGTCCGTCCCAGTTTGACTACTCTGACCTTAAATTTCAAATTCAATTTGTATTCTCACTTTAGTTTTTCATTAACAAATAACATAATGTGGAAATATGTCAGTTGAAATCTAGTATAAAATAGCAATTTTAAGTATAGATTGCTGTTTAGAAGCCCCAAAAATGTTAATCATGTATTCATTCATACACTACAAGGGGGTTGATAAAAGGTTTTAAGAGATTATACGGCATGCCTTTGTCACGACTGCTAGTGTGGTCCAACACGCAGAAACTATGTAAACATATACATGGAAAATTAAAAGGAAATAAAAGGACAGAGCGTAAACCGGTCCTTAGAATGGCCAAATTTAATACGTTAGAGACAGAGAATGGTCAAAGGGAAAGCCGAGGTCAAGGAAGCCAGAAATACACAAATACTGTTTAAACAAGCCAAGTCAGGGAAACCAGAAATCGGAATAACAAGGAATAGCCAAGGTCAAAATACCAGAAAATCTGAATCACAAGGAAAAACGCACTCTCGGGAACCAGGAACAGGAAACCACGACAGGGCAAGGTAATGGGGTGAATCAGGGATTTAAATATCCCTCTCTAGGCTCTGATTGGTCAGAGGGTGACCTCTGACCCCAGAATGTGCGCGTGCGTTGACGTCATGATGCTATGCGCACGTTCGTATAATTTTGGGGGGTGGAGCCATTGATGGATGCGACCGCATGGTCGGCGCCATCTTGGTTTTTCCCGAGCGGCGTGGAGGAGTGGTTCCCGGCTCGCCGCTAACAGGTAAGCTCAGCATGCTGGCGCGGTCGTGGCGAGCCGGGAGCCGTGACAGTCTTATCTTGCAATATTTCAGATGGAGAAAGAACTATAAGCATAGAAGCAGAAATACCAATTGTTTCCAATTTTTATAATAAATATGACAAAAAAATATATAATATGGTCAAATATGGATATTAAATAATAAACCTACTAACAAATTTGGGAATGCATCTTCCTAAAAATGCCACTAGAATATAAAAATATATATCTAAGGGTATGATGTCCACTTATTGTAAGCATCGTTGTGTTTTATAAACCATACTATACAGTACATAAAGAGTAGTTAGGCTGCTTGCAAAGAGGCCAAAGAGTGTTTGGAATCTCTGCTGTGGGATACTGTATCTGTTTGCTATACTTTTACTCTCAATCCATTCTAATATCATAAATAGAATTTTTTTTTTTTTTTATTTTATTATTCTTAATCCCTTTCAGTCATATTCTACCCTACTAAGAGATACTCATGCTCTTATCCATTTTATTATACTCAACTCATTAATTTACACTCATTAATTTACACTTTACATTAAAGATATTAGTCTCTATTCCTTTTGCTTATTTGTCAATTTATATGCCAATACCTTCAGGGTTTTTCCCAATCCTTTCAGATGTACATAAATCAATTTAGTTATTCGCCATCCACTCAAAAGTACATTTGCTCCAATTATTTTCCACCACTTAAGTATACTCCAAAACAATCTGCTATTGTACATTCAGTCAGGTATACTGTTACATTATTATCCATTAATTCAGGAATACATCAAGCTCTTCAGTTATTTGCCATTATTTTGGGTATACAACATGTCCTTTAGTTATTGTTCATTTAGGTACATTCAAGTACTCAAGTTATTCTAGCTCCACTTAGATTATCACCAACACCCCTAGTTATTCTTCATCCATTCGGGTATACCCAAACCCGTCAGTTATCTTCTATCTAGTTAGGTAAGTTCTAAGTCCCCCCCTTCAGTATTCTCATCCATTTAGTTCACCTCCATTTATTCAGTTATTTTGCAATTCATTAAATGATTATCTGTTAGAGACATACTCTAATCATTTTATCTTTTCTGTTATCTTTTCTGTTATCAGTTACTCTGCACTGTATAAAGTGTCAGATTATTTGGATGCAGAGTATGTGGGTTAAAGTTTTCCAAAATGCTCATTAGGACCATTTTTTATTCTCCAAACTGCAGATATCACACATCATATTTTTTTATCCTGCCATATTTACAAGTAACTGTGATCTTAGATGGACAGTTTCTCTGCCAAAAGAGCAAAGTTGTCATAAATAATGCATTTAATGCATATCCTTTGGAATTGTATTGAGAAGTACAAAGGGTGATGAGAAGCACAGATCATAAATCTCACCTTAGTAGCAACTGTGTCTAAGGATGGCTATTATAGTCAATGATCCACTAAGCAACTCAAGAATTCAGGAGGGCTAGACCAATTAAGAAACAATACATTCCATAAAATCATGTTACACATGTTTACTTGGAATTTCAATTTGTTAACATTTATACTTAAGCAAAAATATATATTTTTTAAGAGACTATTATTGAAAGATATGTGCCCTTGAATAATAAGACAAAAATTAAAATTGGGTGGTGAATTATTATCTCCATAATTAAGTAACATCTATGTAGGTCATTAGTGAAAATAATTTTATTGAGTATCTACTGCTTTTGATTATAAAAGCCATTTATATTGAATAATTGATCTAATATTATTTACACAAAAATTAAGTTAATGCTCAAAAACAAGATGTGGTAATAAAATCCTTAATGTTCAGTTTAATGCATAGCTGAAAAAACTCAGAGTTTCAATCCCCCAGACCAATGTAGAGCCTGTAGCAAAAAGCACTGACTTTGTATCTTCCATGGATTTAACTTTGAAGTCTTGGAGTGGATTTTACAGGGATTATGTGAGATTTAGAGATTATGTTTTTGAGTTGCGAATTTTTGATGCAAAATTTTTATACGAAATCCATTGAGGTTTTTGTCTGTGACTTACGCCAAAATTGTATGAATTTTGCTCACAGCAATAAAGTAGCACTGTTGCTATGAATTGTGAAATGTTGTTGCTTGGATTCACTTGCTAAGTACAGCGACTATTAGTTTTATGGCAGTGAAAAGCATGACTGTACAAAGTGTAGGGCAAGAGAGTGGACATATGGCTATGAATGGTAAACCAGAGCACATTGGGCACAATGGGCACAATGCAGTAAAAATGAGTTCTCTGTCAAACGATCCTCATGCTTTCCTACAGCTCTGAGCTGTAAGGGATTGCGTTCAGCTTTACTCAATGCTCGTATTGTTTTTGCTACAATACTATTCTGTTGAGGGCTTTTTTATGCAATTTATTTCATTTTCATTAGAAACCAACCACCCCTATCTCTACATCCATGGCAGCTGCTGCCTACAAGACTCACATGAACCACATCACCATAGATTATAACATGTAAGCCTACTGGTTCATTTATTGGAATGGGCAACCTGGGTAGCTATCTAGGGTACATTGCCAAGACCACTTGAGCCATTGAGTAGTACAGTTGTGTGGACAGTACAGATGAATGTATGTGTGCATTCCTCTGCCCTGATCAAAATACCAGGTAGAAGAAATGTATAAGGGAAAAGGGTGATGGGGTTGTGTGGAGAGATGCATTTAAGAAATGAGGGGACATGGACAGACAGATGGGGTTGGAGAGACAAATAGGAACATTGACAGATATGAAGGACATGAGGGATTTGGAGAGACACCTGAAGGTTGGTGGCATAAAGAGACACGCAAGGAGATAGGGAAACACATGAGTGGCATGAGTGAATGGAGAGACAGATGAGGTACCTGTGCCATGAAGAGGCAAATGATGGGCACAAGGGTTTGAAGAGACATATAAGGGACATGGGGTAAATGAGGAGACTGGAAGGCCAAGAACAAATCTTTTGGAGGATAAGCAGAGGCACAACAGGGAGGGAGACAGAAATGGGTAGTGTGGAATATATGGATAGTTAAATGTATCGATTGTTGAAAATATGGAGAAGGTTGCAATTTAGAATTTAGGAACACAAAATTATGGAATCCCAGTCTGAGAGCCAGATTCTCTAGAAAATACCCTGTATGTCTGGTACAATATCCAGAGTCCTCAATGGCATCTATGTCACATAATACATTCAGTCCATACTATTATAGTAATGTGGGTATCCAAAATCCAACCCTGCATTTAGCTTCCATATCTGCAACATTAAATGAGCTCTAGTGTGCTGTTGATGGTAATAAGAAGATGTTTTAATGCAGCATTGAGTTTGTTAAATATACTTATTTTGTTTTGTATATATATATATATAATCTCAGCATAACTCTAATTCACTCTGCACATAACACATACTGATCAACATTGGCAGTGGACAGGACCTGGGAGGCATTGCCAGTGATGCAATTTGCATTAGTGGTGACCCCCAAAATGGAATGGCCTGTCTTAAAAACTGGTGTGTTTTTAACCCAATGAAGTTGCATGTCATCCTAGGTGTCAACACCTCCAGCCCCACAAGCAGAAAACAATGCAAAGAGCACTGCTGAAGCGGTCTCTGCATGGTCTTAGTGCTATAGCATGCCTAATGATGTACTTGTGCTTCATTGCCTGTGGAAGGTTTCCTGATGTCTCCAGATGAGGAACATTAGGGGAAAACAATGGGATGCTATAATATTTCCCTAAAATAGGAGAGAGGTCTGTTTGACTTCAGAGCACAATAATCTCACTGTGTGTCTTCTGCATGGATAGCAGGCAATCTAAGCAAATAGAAAGGGAGACATGTTGAAAAGGTGTTACCAGCAGCCAGATGGCAAAGTTAATATGTATTTAAGATGAAGGTGCCAAAAGCAGTCAACACCATTACTCCAAAGTTCCATGTTTAGAAGGGGACAGTCCCTATTTTAGACCCAAAACCCTGTGATCCTCTTTTCAATTCTAATTCCCTCTTTTTTAGAAGCTCCATATTTTTCATGTATCTGATTGTATAACAGAGCTAAGAAAATGTAAAAAATATATATGTTGTTCTTTAAAATTATATTTTAGTTGCTTAAATTATTAGTTGATCATGTAAAATTTCTCAAAACATCCTTGTACTTGACAACACACCCACTTACACCCCTTTAAGTAGTGTCCTTTTTTTGCCTATTTGAAATGTTAGGAGCTATGCAACACTAAGGGGCAGTCCATGGACGGACAGGCATGGCTTGCTTTTCAGTACTATTCCCTAGATGTTATCACACACTGATTACTCTTGTTTGAATGGCTTCTGAGCACTAGACTTGTGCACAAATTTGGTTCAGCTAGTACAAACAAACCAAATTCCTTGTAATCTATGCCTAAACGAATCGATCTGTTCTAGACTTCGCTTTGGCATCTTTTTTTAATGAATAACGCTCAACAGGTAAATCAAGGATGGATTCATTAGTTTGGATATAGATTAAAATGAATTTTATTTGCTTTTCCCAGTTGAAATGCATTTGTGCAATACGTTTGTGACATTTGTATTTTAGTAAATAAATCCCAAAATACATGCAGATATATTTGAAGCAGTGTTCATTTTGTCGACTAACAATTTTAGTCAAATTTTAGGCAACTAAAATTTTTGAGATTAAGTCAACGAAAACTAGACTAAAAACGTAAACAATACAGATGACTAAAATACAACTAATACTAAAATGGCTTTTTAGTCAAAAGACTGACTAAAACTAAATTGAAATTTGTTGCAAAAATTAACACTGATTTGAAGTAACAGTTTGTGGCTTACTAGGTAACAATCGCAATAAAGAAGCAATTTGGTGACTATCACTTTTAAAACTCTATAAACTAAACTTAAACAACTGGTGATGCTTAATATTTAATCTATAGATGGTATTTGCAATGAAATAAGCAAAGTTAGAAAAAATGCATCACTAAAGCCTGAACTTCTAAACCAGAATCTGGAATCTGATATACTCTGTGAAAGTGCAAATGTTTTTATTTTATATTAAATTCTATTAGTATTTGCTGTAATATTTAATTGTAGCTAATTGTTGAAATATATAATAATGTTCATATTTATTATTAATAAAATCCAATTTGCTAAGTATAATGGAACATTTAATCAATTATACATTCTATGGACATCTGTGCCAACTAATTAATACATTTACTTCTGTAATCTTTCATTTAATTAACTCTTTTAAAGACTCATATTTTGCATATCTCTTTTATCATTAGTTTTAGGGGTAGCTTCTAAGATCATGAGAGTTTGCTAAGAATCATTTAGAAACCAGTCAGGACACATTTTTATGATTATAGAACTGTTAAAGATATAAAATACAGTTCTAATGCATGCTCTATGGTTAACATGTTAACATGGAAACAATAATTATGACAAAGTATTTAACCAGGAAAGGTAAATTCAGATTACTCTGTTTTTCAAGTACGTTATTTATTTATTTATAAAATATTTTACCAGGAAGGATACATTGAGATTTCTCTCATTTTCAAGTATGTCCTGGGTTCACAAAAGATTGCATTGATACAATACGGTACAATAAAATACAAAAACAATATTAATACACAATATATACAAAATTTTACTTAGTACAGGTAAGAAACATATAATCAACCATGACAGGTGCGTTCTGTTTTGATAGAATATGTTGAGATGGATCTCTTAAAAGGATTTTAGGCTTGGGGAAGATTTGAAAGTGTGTGGGAGGTTGTTCCATAATTGCGGTGCTCTGTAGGAAATTAAGGATTGATTCTTTTTGTATTGAGGTAGACCAAATAAAGTGCTGGCCCTGGATCGGAGGTTATAGGAGGTAGGAACAGCCAGGGAGAGCATTCTGCTCAGGTAGGGTGGGAGCTTCTCAGAAAAGCTCTTAAACACGAGTTATACAATGTATTAAGCTTATTTAGGTGAGTTTGCGGTGCAGGTGCATATACTACATCCCCATAATCAATGATGGGCATCAGCATGTGATGCACAATCTTTTCCTTTACTGTAGGGCTTGGGCAGGATTTGTTTCTGCACAGGGCACCTAGTTTTGGATAATATTTTGATGCAAGTTTTTCTATGTGGAGGCCAAAAGATAGATTGGGATCTAACATCATACTCAAGTTTTTGAAAATAGGTCCTGGGGATATATACATATATATACACCAAATATATACACCAAAAATCAGTCTACTTGTGCAAGTCTTCTGGATGCTTTTTTAGATAGATAGATAGATAGATGATTGATAGATAGATAGATAGATAGATAGATAGATAGATAGATAGATAGATAGATACACAGGCTTTTTGGAACACGCTGTTATTAGCTTACTGACAGAACCACTTACATTACTGCAGGAACAGCTAAACCGTGCTAAACATGGTTTATGGTAAACTATAATGTTTGTATAATGTGACACTACCTAGCAAACACATGCCATACAAACATGTGCATGGTCAGGGAAAAGTATACGCTTCCTCCTGTAATTTTTATCAGGGAGGCAAAGTGGAGTGACTTATAATTGAAGCAATTTGTGCAATTAAATAAGTAACTGTCTGCCAGGATGGACCAGGGACTTCTTGGAACCATAAAAACATATATATGACATACAGGTTGTATTGATTTTTGGAGAAACCCCTATATTTTTCTTCTTTTGATACTCGCAGACAGACTGTATCTGATTGACTGTCAGCTATTCCTTCTGGCCAAATGACTTGATGAATGTCAGTGAGCACCCTATCAGCACTAAGAGTGCCATTAAGAAATAGAGCGACAAAAGCACAAGAAGTATAGGGGAGTTGCATCTTGGAGTCCCTTTGTGGCAGGTCTTTTGACCTATTGATGTGCCTTTCTGGCCACTGTTAGTGGCGGACCCCTTGTGAGTGCATTTATCACCTTATATGTTATCATTGTATCTAACAGTTTTACACTATGTTTTATGTTTATGTTCTTAAGTGATTAAAAGCTGGAATATCATTTCCTAACTGGAGTACTACCAGTATATTCTGGGAGACCGATAACCAGTGTATGTATATTATCTCATTGGTGATCCTTACACATGTAATTGTGGCACACCACACCATTTATTAAAATGGTGTGGATTAAAGGGTAATCCAGATGTGGACCCCTTGCTCATGGTGCCTAGAAAGATATCAGCTATGCCTCACTGATGATGCCTAACAAGGCTGAAATGATCGTCTGAGGTTGCTGTGTCTCTCGTGCAGAGGGAACTTGCTGTTATTTCGGATCTAGATTGCCCATATGGGTGGGACCAGTCTGATATGTTTCAGATATGTTCTCTCTGTAATGGCACAAGATGAGCTAAAACCAGCTTGAGATCTCACAGGTACCCACAGAAGGGCAGGCTATTTCAGTTGCTGTCAGAATACTCTTGCGACCCGTTTTTTGCTCTCCATACACTTTTTTAACACTATAGATTCAGGAACACAGACATATATTCCTGACTTTATAGTGTTAAAAACACTATTTAGCCCCCCTGACCTCTCCTTGACCCCATAAATATAATCCAATCTTACTTTTATTCTTGTCTGCTGCTGTTGTCTCTGTTCCTGATCTGCATGCTTGGCTGAAATCATCAGAAGTGGGATT